CTTACCTCCATTACCTTGCCCATTTTCCTTGTCCATACCTGCTGAAGCTGAATTTGCAGCTCTTTCCATTGTAGCTCTGCTTGATTCCCAGGTCTGATAATTACTCTTGCTAGCTTAAGTCTTGTACCACTGCTACATGAAAGACAGTGGTTGTTTCATCAGATACATTCCCAGATGCCAATACCAACAATTATCTCAGAATTCACAATATTTTACAGTCTCATAGTATTCTGGGTGGAATAACCTGCTAGCCAAGTCTCCTGTCATTGCTCAGATAACTGTTCTGAGACATCTGCCTACTAAATTTCTTACAGGAAATTGTTCCTGCAGTAGAGCTGATAATCATACTCCATTCTGAGGCTGTACAATCTTTACTAGTTAAGGAAAGCTAATCCTTTAGCCCCAAAACCCCCATTTCAAAAGTTTCTGAATTCAGTGGCCTCAAGTTTTAAGCAAATCCTCTTGCTCTGCAGTCAGGTCGGCTGCTATTGTTATAATAATCTCCCACATTTTAGGAGCAGCACAACCCAAGCAGGAGTAACCAGCAGGGTACATTCTTTTTTTACCACTGTTTTGGTTTTAACATCATAACTACGTCATAAAAGCCTATTTTGTTTTCACTTTAACCTGAATTTTCAGTATAATTATGGTTTGAGTTTCCCTTATATCTTTGTATGTATAGTTGACAGTTGTGTTCTGGGTGACCAGTAATGAAGTAAAATGGCTTTCTGAGTATGCAGAAATCCATCTGTGCAGTAGAGATTTCAGGGTGTGTCTTCAAGTTAGTAAATGGTTAACTGCAGAAACTATAAGGTAAACCTAGCAATCAGAAACTGAGAATCTACTTTTAAACACCATTAGACTAGTATTATACACACAGATCCAAAGACAGACAAAAGCCTGAGCGTTCTTATTATCAGCTAGATTAAAACTGATGCAAAACAGAGGTAACATTTTTTTGGTAAGATTTGCCATTATTTCCACTCATATTTTGCTGATATAGAAGATATACATATATATTTTTCCTTTTCTATTGTTCACCCCTCTTTTTTCATGTATTTATCTAAATATATGTGAAGAAGAAGGAATTTAGGGAGTTGAAGAATGTAATTATTCTTTTCCTCTGTTTCCTATCAGGTTTAACACTAATGTATATGTGTCATCTGATATGGCATGACAATCAGGTTCTTATCTGTATCCATGTGATCTATTGGGAGGAGATCAGTTTGCTTAGTTGACCATTTTCAGAATAGCCACTACTATGAATATTGTGTTCTCACAAAGGATGTTTTGATGACTACCATAGTGGTGGCACATAAAAAGGAGCAAGCATCTTTTACTGTTCTTGGGGTTAGAATGTTTATGGGGAACATCTTACTATGAAATCTTGAGGTAAGCATTATTCTGCCTGCCCAACTTCACCCTTTTGTGAAACAGAGGAAATTGTTAGTTCTAGTGCTGGATTTAATGGAGCAAGGTGAACTCTGCAACAAATTGAATGCGATAACACAATCCAACCCCCAGTTCATGAAAAGACATGCACTCATGATGACTTAGACTTAGCTTCATTTTTGGGCCTTAAGGAAACAGGTACACATGCTTTTCTTGAGAGATCTACTACTCTTGAATAGTTCTGTTTACTTGATATATGACTATAGGTGGAAATCTATTAGGAAAGTAGGTTGTAAGTCTATTCTGTGAAACAATGCATCACACCAGTATTCAGAAAGAGATTTTGTCACATATATATTTGGAACAAAATGAAGTACTGTATTTCAATAATTTTTGTTCTTGTAAACATACCATTTCATATTCACATTAGATTATGCCATTAGTGTGTGAGAAATTTTTATAGTCTTGTCACATACAGTAATAAGCATCTTTCTTTCCTAATGTGTTGCCAAGGTGTTCCATAAAAAACCTAGGCAGATACGTTCTCCTGCCTCTTGTGCACCATACCATGGAATCAGTTTCATTATAGAACTTGGCCTGGTTCTGCTCACACCTGCTTATAACTTCCAGCTCAGTGGATGTCTTCATTAACTGATTGCCAGCCATGCGTGATCACTGCAGAAATCATTTGTCTTCTTTAGGGTGTGGGGTAATTAAACAATATATCCATCTACAGACACCACGAAAAGTCCCATAATGTCTTTTGCAAATGGCCCATGACATGGAGTACTGCCAGTTTTTTTCTTCTATTGGTTAGATAAAAGGCTTTTTTTGCATGCCAAATCCCATAGATACTCACCAGAGGTAGTTAAAAAAAGATAAATTTTCTAAATTTGGTTCTGCTTCATAGTACTGACTATTCAAAGAACCCCAGAGGATGCTCCCATTGAAGAATCTCAGCAGCATTTAATAAGCATACCTTGCCCACAGGGAATCTGGATCCTTAGGATACTTGCCTTAGGTTCTCTAATTTCTATGGCATTCCTTGCATGCCAGGTGCAGAAAATGAATGCAAGGAGAGTAGATTTCTCCTTACAGTAGGAGGTATCTTGGTTTGACTAGTGCTGGAATGAGATGCTAAGAGTTGCTTTCTTGAATGTTTTCCATACTAACAAACTCATTTGTCCTCAGTGAATGGTGTTATGGAAACAGGACTGCTCTGAACACTTATTTAATCAGCTGTTAATCATTCCTGATTTATTGTTGACTATAAAAAGGAATCAAGGAATTACATGTACTATTGTGGCACTCGCACAGGCTCACGTGTCATTGCATGCGAACAGAATGTAAACTGCACAGAGGTCATGACAGGGCTGAGTCAGAAAGGAGGATGTCTAGAGTGCAAAGAGTGAGGAAGTTGGAATATGAGCAGAGATCACTTTGTTCAATTACCATTTTGTGGTGCTGCAACACTGTCCAAAGCCTTGTGATTCAAGGGTCCCCATGAAAATCAACATTTAGGGAGGCACCCGCCAGTCCTTCTGCCTCTGACCTGCAGCCTTTATCTTCCATCCTGTCTGGGAAGTAGGAAATCATGTTGTGACTTCACTGTCCACACAGGGAAGGGGAGGAACATTGAGGAAGACCTCTGAGGTTGCTGAGTAGTTAAATATCTTATGTGGGTGCTTTCTTCTGTTTCTTGTCAGGAAAGTCTGAATTTACTAATATTACTCAAATGAGTTTGGCCATGATTAGCACTTCTTAAGTTTCATTTCACTGTTTAATATGCTATGTCACTTTTACACAAAGTTTATACTTAGGCATCAGTAAGAAATAAATAAGAAAAATGCCCTGAAATCTGGATTTGCTACGCAAAGTCTAATAAATTCAAGTTTCAGTGGGAAGTGTATGAGAAAATGACGTTTTTTCCCTTAACAAGGATAATACCTGCGGATAGAACTATGAACTTTGTTGTAATCAAAATACATTTTAATGATCTTATGATGAATTTATGGAAATTAAGATTAAAGATCCTTTATGGAATTAGGAAAATAGGGACTTAGAGAAGATGCAGGTAGATTAATCAGACATGAGAGCATCTAATCTGAGTCACTAGGAAGACTGCAGGTAATTGCCCATTCAGTTACTGTAGCCACAAGGTAGCTGGCCACAAAATAGAGAAATCTGATTTTCTAATTGCTGAAGTCTTGCATGGTGAAGAGTTATTTCCTCCAGTCTCTTTAGAACTGTTTCTTGCAAAACAATCACAAGCAGACATATCTTGATATCATAACTGGAATCTTCCTGGTGAGTCTCCCTGGATTGTTGTCAGGCATCATTGGTGTTGACATGTAAGGTAGAGGTGTGGCACATGGCAGATGTTTCTGGAAGAAAAAATTATATGAAGGAGCATTGCCTCTATTGTCTATGGTTATGGCTGTTTGAAAGGTTTGGAGCCTGTCAACATGTGTCTGCACAGTATCCAATTGCCTGTAGAAGCACATTTACCTTAGAGTGCACCATCATTTGTTTTACAGTAAACATCAAAAAGGAACAAGGCAATTTGACTGTGGTTAAAGACAACATGCAGAATGTGGTCACAGTGCCATAATCAATGTCTTATGAGAGGATTATTTTTAGTCTCTTCACCACAGCTATGAAATCCAAAGTCTAAGGTGAAATAAAATAAGTAAGTATACTTCCATACTGCCACAGAAAAAGGAAGTCAAATTACTTACAGAAAGTAAAAATATTTGCCTATTATTGAAATAACCCTTAGCTTGGGGCTACTTTTCTGAAAAAAACCCAAATCTTTGAAATAGTTTGTGTCAAGAGGATAATAATGTCAAAGATCAAAAACACCAATTCTGCCTAGAGGAGTTATAGGAACTGGGAGGGAAGGAGGGGGGGCAGGGGTTTTTGTTTTCTTTTGGTTTGGGGTTTTGTTTTTGTTGGGTTTTTTTGTTGAGAGATGACAAGCAAGACTTGTGAAAGCAGCGTTAAAATTTTGAAAGTACTGTAAAGTGAAGTGAAAGAAGAAGTTCTTCCTATTTGTTATTGACAGGGAAGGGGTAACAGGTCTAACTTGTCTCAAGAACAATTCATTTTAGACATCCAGAAAACTCCAAGTAGTCCAGATAGTCTGAAGTTCTCCATCTTTGCTTTTGGAAACTAACTGTGAAGGTACAGAATTCAAACACCTGTTAAGAATTTAATATGTAATATTTGATATTATGTGAAGGAAGGAGGATGGACAGGACGGCATTTTGACATCATACGTCTTCCACATATAATGAACGGTAGCTATAGAAATAAACAAAAACTTGAAATTCAGTATTACTGGGAAAAAGCTGAATGAGAGGTTTTTCAGTCTTATAATTTCCTGTGTGATCTAGACATTTCACAGATCGTATGGAATAGAATGCAAGCATTTAGAAAATATGGCTTTAAATAGTATTGCACATGGGAATCAGTCAATAGCTTTGATTTCTGTATAAAATATAATATCAATGCTGTTATATATTTCATGTATAGTGAGTTTGTAAACTCCTTTCCTTGTTTCTCAGGTGTTCAGCTGTCTGTGATCCAAGACAAAAGTGTAACCATCTTTCAGACCTTTGAGGAAATTGCTTAATTTGGAGCAAGGACTGCAAAAAGTTGATAAAACTGGGGCTCTGCAAGGTAAGAAAGATTGCAGACAGAGGTAAGTCTCTTGAAATGGAGTTAAGCAGCAGTTTAGGTATTCAAGAGAAAAAAAATATCATCATGAAAAGAAATAAAACCCTGAGGGAAAAGCAGGGCTTTGGAAGACAGAAATTCAGTCCCAATGAGGATCCATTCCAGGGGCAGTAGAAACCAGCTCTACCCTACCTCACTGAGGACTCCTTGGCCCACAAAAACTTTCCCTGTTTCTTGCTTATGGGCACTGAATATAGCAACACTCAGTTTAGTATTTCGTTAATTCAAGTTATCAAAAAATGGTAGTGTGTGGTAACTAATCAGTGACTGCTGAATACTTTTAAGCTGAGTGTATTCAGTTAACGAAGGGCTCTTTGTGCATGGCAAACAGTCACTGTCCAATCAAAGCCAGTGAGGAAAGGATTACTTGTACTATTATAATGTCACCAGACATATCCTTGCCTAGAAAAGTTATATGGACAAAAATTGGACATGTCATAGTATTATGTATTTTATTCAGATTTAAGTGGGATAAATGCTTTCCACCTGCACAAAAAGTAATTTTATATTTTCCTGTTAGTTTTCATTTGTAAAATAAAGTCCTGAACATTTTTAAAACCCTAATGTTCTGTATTATATTCCTTTAAATTATTTTTTAACTGTAGTAATAATACAACTTCAAATGCAACTATCCAGCAAGTAATGATTATGTTTTCAGAAACAAGACTGAGTTTGTAAAGCTGAAAACTAGCACATTAGTAGTAGGAATCCAGTGGCATTGGTTTGTGGCAGTCCTCCTTATGAGAATAAAGAATTAACTCCAAATCAAATCACAGACAATAAGAGTGGAGTTTTGTAACTTTAAAACATGCTTTTCAGAACAGGCTTTCCTTTTAAACACAAAGAGAAGCTTGATGTTTACATTAGCTTGATTTGTTCTCATGCTTCGTCCAGGAAAAATAAAATGTCCAGCAGTTACAATAGACATTATCCTGTAGCTGAACATACAGCATAGTTAAAGGAACACAAAATTTTCACTTTCTGAGAGTATAATAATTCCCTTAATATAGGAAAATTATCATTCATAGAATAGTATTCAAGCTGGCAAAATTCCTTTACAGAGTATTATTCTTTTCCAGCCCTGATTAACAGGCTGCTTAACTAGAGCAGGAGTTCTAGTTAATAAATCATAAATAATCTAGTTAATAAACCATAAATCACAGGTTCTTCACAGGTGTTCTGATCTATGCTAGGGTTGAATGTCATTGTGGAATCATTACATGATTCCTGCAATCCTTTCAAGCATTTTGCCTACCTGTTTCTTATTACAAAATCCAACTTTCCATCTTTAAAGTTAATAGAAGAAAAAGGTAGTATTTGTGATTTTTCTCTGGCCACAAGATATGCAGACATTGAAGTATTTGCTTCAGTTTCTTGTCTTGTTTGCTAGTTTTGTTAATAAGTATATTTTAAAAAGTTAGCTTTTCTTGATATTGTTTAGAAAATTTTGAAGGCATTGTGCCATCATTTCAACAGTTTGTCTCTAATATCAATGATTATCTTATTAGATTAATGTCTCTGTGTCAGTAGTTCCAATATCATCGGTCAATTTATGATGTGCTGGCCTGCATCAGATAAAAAAGAGTGCATAGATACAACGTATGATTTGTGGGATGAGATTTTCCCAACAAAAATTATTTTTTAGAAGCATATGTAGTTGAAACTTAACCACAGAACCTGAGAACCCTATTTTTCAAATGCCTTTTTCTGCAGCTTCAGAAACTCATATCTCATGATCAGTTTGTTAATAAAATATGAACACATTTTGACACAAGAAGGGGAATGGATAAGTAAATTTAGATAGTTAAATATATGGAAACAATCTGAAATAATTCATAGTGAGTATGGTACAGGATGATCTATGTATACCTAATTTAACTGCAGTCCAAAAATTATGTTATGATATTGCAAACTACAACTTAAATCACAGAGTTATACTGAAAAATCTGGTGAATGGTCTGTAAGAGCACTGACTCAAAGAATGATTTAAGGTTTGTATATTGTGCCAATACAATCTCTCATTGTACTGGAGTGCCCAAGAGAGATTATTCAAACCATGCATTTATAACATATAAGAGAAGGGAATTACCTGTGCTTCAGTCTATGGAATCAATGTTGACTGAACATTTCAAGCGGCCTATGATCTTATTTCAAACACATGAAAAGTATTTATTCTTAAAATTCTAAAAAATATGTGTGACTATAATGCAGACACAATAAAAGTATGTTAGGCAAAGGGAAATTGGCTACTATCTTAACAAAGACGGGATTAAGTAAACCTTATGAATATATATAAGTATTTTCATATAGAAAATATATCTGATGATGCAGAGCTTCACAGAAATTGTAATATCCAAGAGGTATTGTTCTATCTTCAACTAAACAATGTCTATGAGGGGAGATGGAGCATAGAAGCAGTTAGCGTAGTTTAGTGTAACAAACTTATGACCACTTGCAATTTTTAGCGTAAAATTAGAAGTTTTCCTCTTGTACAGGCATTGCTTTAGACAAGGCCAACTTACCTGACCTCATGAGTCACTTTACTGAACTTTAAACTGGCTAAAATCTCTTAAAACATTTACTCCATAACTTAAAGGTAGCTCTTTTACTCCATAACTCAAAGGTAGCTCTTTGAGCTGCAGTTGTCATTGTCTTCATAAAATCCCATTGGTCCATGGTTGGATAAGGCTGGAATGGACATGTAGCAGAAGTTCTGACAGTCCAGGTGGATGAAACGTATCAGCCATTCTTTATTTGCTTCTGCAACAAGGGATTTTAATTGTCCAACTGTCCCCGTATTACCAGATCTCTGCTTCTTCTAATCATAATATAACAAACTGGGTTGAGAAGGAATTTTAAGTTGTTTATGAGCCTTAAATAGCTCAAAGGTCATAGATTGGTCATCTCTGTTTACATCCCTCTTCTGTGAGAAATTTTGTGACTAGCAAGTAGAAGTTAAAAAAAAAACATTTTCTTTTGTCTTGAACTATTGAATGACCAGGACACTCTGCTTTCAAGACATCCTTACTTATCTTCTAGTCAATGTCTACTTGATATGGACAATGTCTACACAAGATTTCATGCTTCAAGTCTTGGGCCTATAGAATTAAAAATTCCCCCTTGATGATGTCAAAGATTGGTTAAAGCTGAGGGTAAGCTGTTGATGTAACCAAATAACTGATCTGAGTTTTCAAACACTGGCTTTATGAATCCTGCTGATGTATTTAGGGCAAAACCAGTCACCAGACTTTGTATGAGAAAGTATTTCTCCTCAGATTAGGTTGACTGGCACCTACATTGTTTCTAGGTGGTTTTGTACATTATGGTTGTAAATCAGCTATTATGTTCACCCACACGATTTTCATATACTCGGGTAATATGCAGTGGTAATGCCTCAGATTCTGTTGCTGTTGGTTTATTTTACAGATTTAATCTCTTCAGGCTGAAATTGTATACTTTCACCCAAATTATAGGTTTTAAACCAGATATAAGAGATTAGAAGAAAGATCTAACGATCTTCTCTGATTTCAAATTCACTGCAATTGTGGAGCTATGTGACTGAGCAAACTACAGAAGCTATAGAGAAGTTACAGAGTTTTGTATCTTATTAAGTAGATGCAAAATACTTTACTTCCCCAATTTTCCTGCTTTTTAATATCAATTTAGTTGATTCAGCTTCTAGTGTGATAAAAACAGATGTGTTTCATTTTCTTTGCATTACTTTATGCAGGCAAGAGAATCTCTGGTAAAAATTGCTCTTGTGTTTTATTTCTATTTCCGTTTCTTATCATGATTGCACTGCAATAGCATTGAGACATGGCAATGAGATAACAGAACATTCTGGCAGATCTCATAGTTGTCTCTATTTTCCATTTAGGGCAAAACAGTTGTGAAAGAACTGCATAAACTATTCCTTTTCTTTTCTTTTTTTTTTTTAATCAATTGACTTTTCTTTAAGGATTCTTACTTTTGGTTTTTTTTTTTTTGTTCCCACTGAAATAATTGGACCAGTCCATTAAGATCAAGTCCACTCTCTGATTTTCTCTCCAGGATTTTTTCTCTCCAGGAAAGCATTTAGGCACACAAGTTAAAACCCAGTATTCCCAGTAACTGCTGTGGATATACTTCTATATAAATACATCACAATGATTTTTTATAAACATATAATACTTATTAACTCTTTATATTCTTCTCGACTGCTAATGATAAACTACCCTTTCTAAAGTAATCCTTAATCTGATAAGACTATCTCTATTCCAAAATATTATAAATATACTGTTTCACTAACATTTTGAGATTATAGGCATGCAAAACAAAAAGGAACAAAAATATTTTTTCTGGGTAATAATCAGATTAAGTAAATTTTGTGTGAGTAAAGTGATAGAAGATCTACAGGAAAATTCATGTAAACCTTCTTGTCTTCTATGACAAGTATTTTTATTTAATTTTTCATAAATTTTACTTCTGTAAAATTGTTAAACATGTCTATTTTAATACATACATTGAAATAAGGGTTATGAAGTGCAAATAATTTATTTAAGTGTTTAAAATTTTTGTTATTTTCATTGAAGCAATGCCTACAAATACTGATAAAAACAGCACATTCCACAATAGAACAAATGGCCCATTTCAAACAGTTTAGAATATAAACATACATTCAAAAATCAGAATACTAGTTAAGCACATTTCTGCTAACCAGAGCTATTTCCAAAACACTTCTAAACTGAGTCTGAAACTCATCTTACTGTTCTGCAGTTGCTCAAATGAGGAACTATATGCACTGTAGTAAAATCCTGTTTTCTTTCATGCTAGATGGGTAATGTTCTCCTGGATTAGACTTAGAAGATGGGAAAGGAAGCAAAAGATTAAAACAATATTTTGGTGTTACCTGGTTTCATTCTCACTGTGTATTCAAGAATGGATTCATCTTTAAGTGCAACAGTTACTTCAAGCATTCAGCAACATTTCTAGTAAGGTAAAGAGGAGTTCCTTTCAGTTTAAGGGGCATAATTAAAACAACAGTACCTATAATAGGGAACTTTTTCTGGTGGAAGAATATTCAGAATATGGATGGAAGTATTCAGGCTTCTTTTCCCAGGTGACAATGAACTGTGCATGCATTCAAGGACTAGTATTCTCTTTAGGAAAAGGGAGGTACAGTCCAAAGTGCATACATTTCATTATCCAAGATAAACGAGGCTATTGGAGTGGTAAAAATCCAAGAGAAAGCTATTTGTTATGTCTGTCTTACATAAGAGGAGCAAAGTCCAATCATGCTGCATGTCCTTAACCATATTAATTCTGCTCAGGTTTGAATAATTTTTCAGAGGAGTAAGACACAAACCAGGAGCAGCCTTTCGCGGTATGTCAGTAGTTTGGAGGGTTTTTTTAAAATCAGAGATATTTTATAAATTCACTGATAACTAAAACAAATCTAATTAACTGCATATTCTTTTAAATACACATTTAATTTTTCATTTATTTTGTATATCTGTGCTGCATTGCAGAAAATATTACTCTTATATCATTCAAATGAAATTAAATAAATGACGGAGTTATCAAATGGCTAAATACAGAATATAAATGTTTGTAAGGAAACACCAAACTTCTGGACTTCTTTCAATATGCTTATACTTGTGCATTATGAATATTCACTTTGCAATATATGCTATTAATAACTTCATTGATTGTAATAAGTACCCATATTTTTCTTTCAAACAAATGATTGTTGAGATTGCTGTCCTCAGCTTAAGATTGTGTATTTCTCAGTCAAATATTATTTTACAGGAAACTATCTTCAATAAATTTAAAATGCATTCTGAAGATGAAAAGAAGTATACTGCAGATGGAAATAGTCATGAGATCATTGCATCCAGCCAGGGTCATGAATCTGAAGACAAACAGTAAGTATTCTTGACTATAGTAATCATTATGTATTGAAGCTTATTAAACTCCATTACTTTGCTTTATATTTTATTGAAATTTGTATTTTAAACCTTATTTTAACTTATTTTGCTAAGAAGACCTAGTAAGACAAAGCTTTGTATCAACATAAGAGTAGCATTGATTGGCACATTCGTTTCATGCAAAAGGACTGTTTATTTTCTCCTTTAAAGGACTAAATGTCCTCAGTATTGACTAGAAAAACAATTCTAAAATATGACAGAAATTATATTGGAATGGAAATATTGGATACATTTATGTAATCTACTAAAAATTATCTTACAATTTTTAGTAGAGTGATCAATCAACATTTTACATACCTTGAACATGTTATCTATTCCCTATCCACTATGTACAAAAGTTTTCCTCTCTTCTGTTTTGAAATCTATACAGTGCTTTAATTCACAACTTCCCTGACCAGATAGTGGAACCACTAGCCCCACTGATGTTGTTTCATCCTTGAAGGGGTGAACTGGGAAGAACATGACTTAAATTTATAGAAGTTAGGAGATGATGCCACTTATATTTCTGAAGATTTAAATAGAAACATCTCAAGAATGCCCAGTAAATCATGCTCATTTTACGCAATTGTTTGCTGTAAAATTATTTCCAAATTATAATATAATTGAACTGCATTAATATGTTGAATTAGTATTTCTGCAAAATGAGGTCTCTTTTTAAATTCACTAAAACTACCTACACTTTTTTTTTTTAGCAAGGCAAAGAAGAAGCAGAAGAAAGGGGAAAGACCTAAGGTGGTGAGCCCATTTGCACTGGTAAGGTTTATTCTCTCTCTATATGTCTACATATACATACACACAGGCACATTTCAAAGTGTAATCAAAAATAGTTGCAGTTATGTTAGTATCCTGAATATATGATGCTGTCTCTACCAAATATATTCATACTACAGAATATTGACTATAGTATAGAAATCAAGCAGTTCTTTTTGTGGATGTAGTTATACTAAAGAAGCTGCCTTTTACAGATAAGTAGTCTTAGGAGTGTTCCCTTGGTAAATCGCCATCTTAAACACACCCATACCAGATATTTGTTTATGAAAGATAGGAATTTCCATGTTCACAGCAAGAAGCATGACCATATACCTACACTGAGTGTGATCTTGTCCTCTAAATTACCAGTCAGGTACTAATCACACTAATTATCCCCATGAGTCATTATTCAATCACCTGAGTCAGCAGTAAAGGGCAATACCATGCTACTGATGAAAATTAAAATTAAGAATTGTGTGCTAAAAGGTTCCAGATTCTTTAAAATTTTCTGTATGTATTTTAAAACACATCCTTGTAACATTTAATCAAGTAAATCCTAGGTCCTCTTTTAGCCATACTGAAATATGGCTAAAAGAGGACCTAGGTTTAGTAGGTTTAGTAGGTTTTGTAGGTTTAGTGTGTGTAACACACAGCAATGACACTGCAAATAACAAACATAAAACTGTAGTACATGATGGTGGCCAGTGCCCAATTTCTTTGCTTTGCTATATCAGTTTACACTAGTACAATTACATCATACAGCTATAATTTACATCAGTAAACTTAGTAGTTTACAGTACAGAATAAACCCAATGATTTTGTAATAGATGAGCTCAAATTTTATTAAGTTCAATGGCAAGAGGATTTAGGATTTCAACACCTTTTTATAATGTCTATGGTACATTAGGAACAGATTTTCTGGCTGCATAATAATGAATTTACAGTAAAAAAAAATTATTGCCTTAGTTATCATAACACCATAAAAATTTCTTATAATTTGAACTTTAAATGGCAAATGTAAAAAGCATAACTTTTTTATGTCTTGTTTTCCTATGGCCTTTCTTACCCAGGTGCAGATACTAGTGCATTAAAATGCCACATCTCTCTGGTTTTGAGAGTTTATAGTATAAAAGGGCTATATACAAAGGATTTATACCTGTACATTTAAACTGTTTTTAAACTGTATTTCTAAAGAGATAAAGCTGTAGGTTTGGGACAGCAGGTGTACAATTTATAGCTTTTTCTTTACTTTCTTGACTTCGTAGACATAGCATTGTGTTAGCATTCTAATACAACAGTTAGAATGAATTTCTCTTCTCACTTACAGTTCCGATACTCCAGCTGGTCAGATAAATTTTTAATGATACTGGGCACTGTGATGGCAGTAGCCCATGGAAGCAGTCTCCCTTTTGCCATGATGATTTTTGGTGATATGACTGATAGCTTTGTTGCATCTGCAAACAAAAATTTAACAGGTAAGAATATATCTGCTATGACAAGAACAATGGCTCCTATTTAGAAAAGAAACAGGAAGATTCACACATCTTGACAGGAGATTCAGATGTCAGAAACCACAATGTTATGCTATGATGCAAATTAGTAGCTCATGTTCATTATAATAGAGATACACTGTGGTTGGGGTCACATTGTAGTGGGAGTCTCCTACAGGCTGCCTGACCAGGAAGACCGAGCAGATGAGGTCCCTATAGATAGATTGGAACAGCCTTGCATTCACAAGCCCTGGTCCTCATGGGGGTCTGCAACCACCTCAATAACTGCTGGAGGAACAACACCACTGGGCACAAGCAATCCAGGAGGTTCCTGGATTGTGTTGATGATAAGTTCTTCAAATGATAGAGGTGCCAGTGAGGAGAGGTGCTATGCTGGACCTTGTTCTTGCTTAAAAGGAGGGACTGGTGGGGATTGTGAACCTGAAGGGCAGCCTGAGCTGCAGTGACGATGAAATGGTGGAGTTTCAGGGCACCAAGGAGGGAGCACAGCAAGATCACTATCTAGAACCTCAGTAGAGCAGACCTGGACCTCTTCAAGGATCTTCTAGGTAGAGTACCATGGGATAAAGCCTTGGAGGGAAGAGGGGCCCAAGAAAGCTGGTTGATATTCAAGGATGACCTTCTCCAACCTCAGGAGCAATGCATTCCAACAAAGAAGTCAGGCAGAGACACCAGGAAGCTTGCATGGATGAACAAGGAGACAAGCTCAAACACAAAAAGCAAGCCTTGAGAGGGTGGAAGCAAGGAAAGGGAGCTTGGGAGAAATACAGAGTACCTGTCCAAGCAGCCAGGGATTAGGTTAGGAAAGCTAAAGCCCTGACAGAATTAAATCTGGTCAGGGACATCCAGGGCAACAAGAAAAGCTTGCATAGGTAGGTCAGTGATCAAAGGGTGATGAGAGAAAATGTGGGCCCTCTCCAGAGGGAAATTGACAGGCTGGAGAGGTGGGTCTCTGGGAATCTCATGAAGTTCAACAAGGCAAAGGGCAAGGTACTGCATGTGGTTTGGGGCAATCCCAAATACAAATACAGGCTGGGAGAAAAATGGTTTGAAAGCAGCCCTGAGGTGAATGATTTGGAGCTGTTTGCTGACAAGAAGCTCAACATGAGCCAGCACTGTAGGCTTGCAACCCAGGAAGTAATATCATGGGCTGCATCAAAAGAATTGTGACCAGCACATGGGGGGTGGTGTTTCTACCCTCTCTGCGTCTCTCTGGAGTGCTGCATCCAGCTCTGAGACCCTGCACCATAAGAAGGATAACTGTTGGAGTAAGTTCAAAGGAGGGCTATGAAGATGATCAGAGGGCTGAAGCAACTCTCTTATGGGGACAGGCTGAACAAATTGGGGCTGGAGGGTGACTTTTTACAACAACCTGTAGTAATAGGATGAGGGGTAATAGCTTTAAATTGAAAGATAGGCAATTTAGATGAGATATCAGGAAGAAATTCCTCACTAGAGTATGATGAGAGACTGGGACATTGTATACCAGAAATGTTGTGGATGCCTGATCCCTGGAAGTGTTCAATGCCAGCTTGGATGAGGCCCTGAGCAACCTGGTCTAGTGGAAAGTGTCCCTGTTCATGGTAGGGGGACTTAGAACTGGGTGGACCCCTTAAGGTCCTTTCCAACCCAAACCATTCTGTTCTTCTATGTGTGTGTGCTCAAGAAGACTTTTAAATCTCAAATTACAGTGATGTAGTTTTGTAGTCAGTGGAGTTATGACAAACCCTGTATTAGTAATGTTCATTCATGTGCATTAAAATTTCCTCCTTTCTTCCAAATCATCTTGATTCAAAAGGAGATGTAGTAACTCCAGATATGCTGAACAGCATGCAGGAAAACTAATTTGTTAAATCTTGCTCTGTTAAAAGTATTTACTCTTCTCTTCCTTTCTAAGAAGACCCTACAATAGATGACTGGATGAATATCACTTCAGACATGCTTAACAAGCTGGAAAAAGAAATGACAAGGTAATTAAAAGTTGATATTTCCTCTTCTTTTTTTTAATGTAGCCACACATCTCTAGTCAAGCCATTCCTCTCCCAAGGAAGTTTTGCACACTTTAAACAACATAAAAACCCAATGATTTAATAATATGTGTAACTAAAGATTGGCACAAGAGATTATTTGAGGCCCTGGTAAGATTCTTGAACATTCCTAGCTATTTCCAACAATTTCCCTGTAATCTCTTGCTCTGACCCATCCTGACACATTTCAGGGGTGCTCTATATCCCAGTGCAATCTGCATTGCTTTCCTTCTTTCTTCTCTTCCTCTGAATTTATAAAGAGTAATTGTTATGATAAAAAATTATATTGATTATCATCTGTCAATACCTTGAGCTATGGTGATTCACTTGCAAAAAAAAGTTGAATTTTCAGATAGTACCTACTTTGCTGCCAAAGCATCAAGTTCAGCTAAATCACTCTCTACAAGTACCTGAAAGGAGATTATAGAAAGATGGGGTTCAGTCTCTTCTCCCAGCTAATAAGCAACATGACAAAAGGAAATGGCCTCAAATTGTGCCAGGGGAGGTTGGATGTTAGAAAAAATATCTTTGTGGAAAGGATTGTCAAACATTGGAACAGGGTGTCCAGGAATGAAAAGATTTGTGGATGAGAGACTGAGGGACGTGTTTTAGTGATGGACTTGGCAGTGCTGAGTTAATGGCTGGATTCAAATATCTTAGAGGTCTCTACCAACCTAACAATTCTATAATTCTATAATTATCTAGAATGTAGAAAATGCAGATTTAGATTATGTGCTACCTTAAATCTAGCATTCTAGAGCTGGAAACAGAAGGCAATAGCCAGTAGGTGCTTCTGCTACAAAACTCCATAAGGAAAAGATCAAATAAGAAGAAACATAAGCTGCTAATAGATGTGTTTTGTTAAAAGCTTTATTAACCATTGTCCATACACTTGATTTATGCAGGATGTCTAAAGTTTGTGTGTTTCTTGTACCACTTCAGGTTCTTTTCTTCAGGTTGAACTCTGTTCCTCATTAGATATTGAAAAAAGTCTGATGTACTCTTCAAGGCAATTATCTTTTTTGAAGGGAAGGAGATAAGGCATTTTCTGTAGTAACTCTTGCTGTTTGATATCAAAGTGCATTATAATTTTGGGTAACAGTGGACTGTAAACTTATGTAGCTTCAGCAGTTAATTTTTTCAATTAAAAAACCTATGACTATTTACACCAAAAAACCCCAAACCAAAACATGCCCAAACAACTCTTTACCATAAAATAAATGAACAAGGTAGGAAAAGGCTGTTTCTTAGAAATGAAGAACCTGAATGTAATGAGAGTGAATCAAGAGGGAATTGGCAATTATGCTTTATAGGAGAATTTCTTGCTCCTGCAATATTTCTGTCAGTCTCTGACATGAATGTAAGTAATGCCTACAAATGTTCAGTGGAGTATACTTGTTCCCACTGATTCAAAAACAAATTTGAAGGCAGAATTGCAAACTAAATAATGTGTGTGTGGGTGAAGTTACCCTAACTGTTCTGTGTTTAGTAAACACTTGATGCCTAGCTGCACAACATTTTCAAAGTCTCTTGTGTTTACTCTGAAAGAACTTTTAAAAAAATTACAAAAAAATTGCTACGTATGAAATTGTAGAATTTGTTTTGCCCATTATTTAATTGGTGAGTGATCTCTCCCTGTCCTTATCTTCACTTATGAGCTTTGAATTATATTTTTCTTTTCCTAGTCTAGCTAAAGAAGGGAAGTTGCAGTGAGCACCTGGAATCCAACCAGGGCCAAACCACCACAAATTAATTCTGAAAGTACAAGCAAGAATAAAAAGCTGCCCTAGTTTCCCTTTAGAAACAAATAGTTTACTGATAAATATATTAATAGCAGCACAGGAATAGGTGCTCTTTTCCAAACTTTCTAGATAGAGCCTTGAGTTGGCATTTTCACTGGCTGACAAAGCTCTTTGCACCAACCCCTTGTTCCTCTAGAACGCCTGCCAGCAGGTCAAATAATGATAGAAACTGTTTGCAAGGACAGAGTTCTCACACGGGTGTGTTCAAGTACTGAACTATACATGTGGACTTAGTCAAGTTTGTTACTCAAACAGTTTGCCTCAACTGCAACGATTTCTCAAAAGAGAAGGAACTCTTATTTTTCAATTCAATGTGCATTTACTCTCTGGTAAGTTACAGCAGTGAATTTACAGACTAAATTTCATCAGCATGGAATCTGGCAGAGACATGAATCCCTTTGGATATGATTTGTCAGTAAACAAAGTCCAAGCATAAATCAATTCTTTGAAGAGATCTAGCATCATAAAATAATTGTCTAAAGTAATTACTGCTGAATTTAGAATTGGTGTTCTTGGGTTTTTTGAGAGGCTTTTTTTTTCATGGAGCCGAATGCAATTGAAGTCAATATTCAACTAACCAGCTTTCTGTTAGGCATTAACCTGATTTTGTTAAACACTTTTGATTAAGTGAATTTCATAATGAGTACAGTTTCGAAGTCCCTAACTTAACTGTATGATATTATAGCCACAAGAGAGATTGGAATAAATTTGTGAAGTTTAATTTGTAAAGCCATTCTCTCTTAGAGCAGAGCATTTGCACACAGATTCCTGAAATTTCTCCTGCCAAGTTTCATTTTAAAGTTCTATAAAATCAGTATGGATAACTTAGTAAAAGAGTGAAGGTCGCAAGTGTTCACAAAAGGTCATGAGTCAAGCTTTGTGCTAATGGTTTACTTTTATATAGATACATTATTCTTATAATTGCAGGTGATATACATCATAAATATTTAATCATTGATTTTAGTTGTGTTTTGCAAATGAAATCCATTAAGTTACATTTTTGTTATTCAGTTCTGTTGTAAGTTCCATTATAACTGATTCTGATGTAATTCTTCATCAAATCAAAATTGGTTTTATTATTTTTAAACAGTTTAAAGCTGTGACTCAGATTTACTCCCAGTCTGAGAAATATCATGGTTCACACACTCCTGGTTTGGATTTGACACCCTGCTCGTAGCACAGGGCTGAATTAATGTAATAATAAGATATCAGTTATGAATAAGAGATTCAAAGATTTTTTATCTAATGGCATTTGTTTCCAGTAGCTGCAAATATAGTAATGCTGTATTGTCAAATCAGGAAATATTTACTGCATCCATCCACTTATTTATTTATTTATTTATTTACATAGGCATGTTTATGATTTCAATGTGTATATACTATACATATATGTGATTTGGTATGTTAAAAATGCTAGGCAGTTTATGGGCATGACAGATTCAAGTGAAAAGGGTATTGTATCAGAAATCCAGTTCTAAAAGAATCTTATGAGAAAAAACTTACAAAATTTTAAAAAAGGTAATTTTGACATTAAATGCTATTCATGGAAAACTCAGCAAGTTTTACAGTAAAGTGTAAGTTTTAGTACAAGCATATCAACCCTAATTCAGGTCAAACAGAAAAAGTAAGCATCATGATAAATTCGCACTAGCAAAGTAATTAAACCAATTTTAACCTGATTTCAGAGAATCTTGCCCTTTTTTTTTTTTCTTTTTCCCTTACAGATATGCATACTACTATTCTGGAATAGGAGCTGGTGTTCTCCTTGCTGCTTATATTCAGACTTCATTCTGGACCTTAGCAGCAGGTCGGCAAATAAAAAAAATTAGAGAAAATTTTTTTCATGCAATTATGAGACAGGAAATTGGATGGTTTGATGTAAATGATGTGGGAGAACTTAACACTCGTCTTCTAGAGTAAGTACACCATACCTTTCCCAATGTTATTTGATCTTGTTAAACGTGCAGGACTTAGAAATTTTTATTTTTAAATTTAACTATTTCACTGTGAAACTAAGTTTTCAAGTTTCCTCATGGAGAGTCTCAGGGACTGAATTTCTAGTACTTCTGATACAGGACTGTCACAAAGATGTCAGAAAAGCATTTTGTTAAGTTCCCTTGAACTCTGAGGATGACTAAAGGTCAGCCTATGTTATTACCCCATGAAGAGAAAACAGTTCCTTTCTGGACACACTGAGGACTGAAAAAGGTGCTGGGTCAGCCCAGCAATGTGAACAGCTTTAACTGCATAACATTGCCTACATGAAATGCTTTTTCTTTTATTTCCAAATAGCCCACAAGTACCAAACTGATAAAAACTTTGGAATTAAGAAAGTGAGAGTAGTTTTTCACTACAGAAAGCATTTCAACCTTCTCAGACAAAAGCAGGTTTATAGCATTACAGTTTCACAGGAAATACAAAAGTTTCCTTGGCCACACTACATAATGCTTTACCTTGAAGAAAACTGTTATTGGGAGAAGTAATTAAATAATAAAGTCTTCCACATGTAACAAAACTGGAAATCTTTCTTGTGCTTTCTGCATTTTTCTTCCTCTCTGTAATTCGTTTTTCAGTGATGTCTCCAAGATTAATGATGGAATAGGTGACAAGATTGGATTGCTTGTTCAAGCACTAACAACATTTGTGACAGGATTTATTGTTGGTCTCATAAGGGGATGGAAATTAACCCTTGTAATACTAGCAGTTAGCCCTGTGCTGGGACTTTCAGCAGCCCTCTGGGCAAAGGTAAGTTAACATATGTACAGCGTCAGGTTTTATATAAATGACAGATAATGAAATAAATCTACATATCTGTAAGTCTTAGTATTAGAATGTGTGCTTAGAGCAACTGTAGCTTTAGATAACACTTAGGTACATAAGCTCTTAGATGAACTGTGTATCAGTACCCTCTCATTCAAGGCCAGGTCAGATGGGGCTCTGAGCAACCTGGTCTAGTGGAAGGTGTCCCTGCCCATGGCAGAGCAGCTGAAACTAGCTATCTTTAAGATCCCTTCCAAGGTCATTTTACAATTCAGTAATTCTATGTCATTTGAGTATTATAATTCCCATAGATTGGGCAGACTTGTTTGGTTTGAAGCTGTTTCTGCTGATATAGCACATACAGAGAAAGAAGCAAGATATATGTGTAGAATCCACATGTGTAAATCTTTAACTTACATCCATATATGTACTTTTTCTCTTGAAAGAAATAATTGTACCTCCTGGAAAATAAGAGAATAATTTAGAAAAAACCTTTGTCTCAGACACAGAGTTTTTGTCATAGTTGTTAACAAATTTGATAAGAAATTCTGTACAGACCCAGGTGAGAAAAGGTCCAAATTTCCATGGCACCACAGTGCCTTATATTTTTTTTAAGTCTTCAGACTTTTATGGTTTTTTATTTCCCTTATATTTCAAAGAGCATTAAAGCTTTCACTGTCTTGAGTGAGTATATTGCAGAAAAGGTAGGATTAGAGATGTATGTGCCATGTATGTCAACTGGCTGAGTCTTCACAGACTGTGGCCACTTCTTCACAGTCTAAGCTACAGGGTCCTCTGGCTAAAGCAGCCAGAGATGAGAATGAGCTAAGGAGGTCTGCCTGGGGAAACCACAGCAGCTCACTATGAGTACTCCTCTTATCTCTTGCACTGGGTGAAAAGGGAAAATCCAGGCCTTAGTTGTTTACAGTGTGTAATGTGGAATTATTTTATTGAATTCACAGCATACTTAGGAATTTGATTATTGGACATTCTGCACCCATGCCTAATATAGTCAAAAGGCTTCATATTGGAGCACACTAGTTGTGATAAAAGCCATTTTGAGTGCTTGAGCCTATACTGGTTTTCATATATCAAAATACTTGATTCTGTATTAGGTTCTCTCTGCTTTCACTGACAAAGAACAGGCTGCATATGCAAAAGCAGGTGCTGTTGCAGAAGAAGTTCTGGCAGCAATTCGTACTGTAATAGCTTTTGGAGGACAGGAAAAAGAAATTAAAAGGTAAGAGCAATATTTGCTTTCATCACTGGATTTTAAAATACTCACTTCAAATGGTTTGAGATTTTCTTACATATTTTCTGTTGAGAGTTTTGTGCTTTCTGCATTTTTAGTTAATGAGAGATTGTTAAAAGGTTTGCTACATGTTGAAAGACAATCAGTTATTTTTCTAGAGTTGATATGTTGTCTCTGCATTAAAGGGTATGAAAACTACTTCAAATATCTTACCATGAGAGCTTTAGACAAAAGAGGACCTCTCTTCTTTGAAGAGATGATGATATCCTTGGTAATCTATAAATCATCTGAGTAATCTCTTGAGTAATCTAATCTGAAACTAAACTATTGAGTAATCTAATCTGATTACTCAGTAGTTGAGAAGGTGCTAATAAACAGTATCTCTATTTCCACCGTACTGTAAAATACAGATCTGCTGATATAATTTAACCTTTAATCTTGAGTGGTTCACAATAAAAGTTCACTGATCTATAGAAGCAACTTAAATGCCAGTCCCTGACCTGCAATGCCCTTTTATTTCTATATACCAAGTTGACTAATGTTGGCATTTTTAGAGGTTACCTTAGAAAGTCCATGCCTGACTAGCAGGCTTACCTTTATACAGTCTTAGGGTTAGATATTTTATGTACCTAACTGCTGTACTTTGCAAACATTCTTTTTCTAATCCATCCACAGAGCTTTTGTGATGTCTGCCATGGTACAAGTGTGAGTCTATTTTGAACTTCTATCTTTCTTCCAGATACCATAAAAATTTAGAAGATGCTAAACGGATTGGAATAAGAAAGGCTATTACAGCTAATATTTCTATGGGTGCTGCTTTCTTACTAATATATGCATCATATGCACTGGCATTCTGGTATGGAACTACTTTGATCTTAACTGATGATTACACTATTGGCAAAGTTCTCACAGTAAGTATTAATGAGTAAATTCTCAGTGACAGTGAGAAATAATAAAGAACAAACCTTAAAGTGTGTATTTGACTGTAATAAGAATCATGTCCCAAAATTGCAAAAGTAGCATCCCTTCTTAACAAAAAGATTCTCACCACAAAAGCCTACGTGTTGTTTCTGCAGGATTTCACAATCTATATGAACCCAATTAAAACACATATGATTTTTCAACTGATCCTATATATCTTCTGATTTTCATAAGATCAGACTGATATAGAAACAGTTCAAGCAAAAACTGAAGTACAGTACCTTTTCTAGTTGCTATTTGCCTTCAAAGGGCTGAATACATTTCCAGGTTGCAGAAACAAATCCTTTTTTTTAGCTGTTGTGTAGTCTAAGTACATAATTTTCTTAATGTTTGCTTATGTTTTGCACCATGAGAAGTTGGTATCACTTCTTGGTATTTTTTAGAAATTGGGTGGGATAAAAACATACTTGTGACTAGGAAATACGTCACCATCTAACTGAAGGAAGAAAACCATAACACTTAAATCATAACTTAAATTATTCTCTTGATGTGTAAACTATTCTAATTTTGTATGAAATATGAAGTAAACAGGGGAAGAAGAATAACTTTGTTAACCATGACGAAACCCAGCCAGTTGATCATATGCATATATTTGTATATTTTTTAAACTACCTGTTTAATTTATTAATCACTGAAGCTTGTGGAAAATGTCTCTGATATGTGGTTTTGGCTCTTTTGAACTTTTTGTACAGGTTGGCATGTGGAACCTCTCAGTGAAGTTCATGACCTTATATGTAATTTATTCTGTTCAAAGTATTTGCAAACTCTATTGCAAATTGTCTGTGTTGTAGTTCAAACGATGTTTTTATGACATGGATGATGCATTATTGGGTGTAAAATCTGTGAATAACCCCTGTTCAAGAGGATGGGTGTGACAGACTTTGCTCTGACTGCTATGGCTGTTATGATCTCTGAGCAGGGTGGTTTAATTGCTTTTGTTTTGATACTAACTGAAAGCAATGAACTGCTATTATGAGAAAATTATTAATTTTTCTCTTCTGCTGCTGTTTCTTGTTTGCTTGCACTTCACTCTTTCATTGAAGCAGGGGATCCTTTATTACTTTTTGATGAAGAACTTGGTTTTCTATACTTCTATTTCACTGTCTCTGAATGATAGTGTCTTGCACATCTGTTGTTCTGTTGGCAGATATATAAAACACTTTCCAGTCTTTGGCCACAGAATGCATTAGTACAATAAATCCTGAGACATCAAGTGAAAATCTAAATTTTTTGTCTTAGGTTTTACAACTCTGAGTCACTTTTTCACTTTTTCTCAATGTATTTGCAAATTTAATGTTGTACAGCTTCTCAGTTCTGATATAAACCTTAAAAAGCCCTTTTCTTAATGTTCTTCTCTGCCTAAGAGAGATCTTTTCAGTTTTGCTTTAATTCTAGCTTCCTTAAACTTCCCTTAACAGACCTCCTTACCCAAAAATACCATACAAAAATAAATAAATAAATAAATAAATAAATAAATGTAATTTTCTGCTTAAATAAGAATGAATACATACCTCTGTAAACATTTCTTTCAGGTCTTTTTCTCTGTATTGATTGGAGCTTTCAGTATTGGACAGACTGCTCCAAGCATAGAGGCATTTGCAAGTGCAAGAGGAGCTGCCTATACCATCTTTAACATAATAGACAATGTGAGTATCATTGCCCTCACTATAATTTGAAAATTTCTTTTGAAGGTAAGAGACCCTTCTTTTTAAGGACAGGAACTAAATTCACACAGAAGCTTAATGGAAAAATTTTGTAAGTATTCTTACAGGAGCATATCATCAATGTAGAAATGTAGCAGTGAGGGAACAAATCATTGTACAATTTAGATCTTTGAGAAACCTCACCTAAATTACTTAAAAAACATGTTTAACATTTCTGCAGAAGAATGGTGCACTCGAGGACTTCTTTATGAAAAAAATGGTTTTTTTTTTATTTTATTTTATTTTGCACAGGAACCTCAAATTGACAGCTATTCAGAGGCAGGTTACAAACCAGACCACATAAAAGGGAACTTGGAATTAATAAATGTTTACTTCAATTATCCATCCAGACCAGAAGTTGAGGTACTGTAACTGAAACTTTATATTTATATTACAGTTGAACGTATGGATCATATGTTGGGAAAAAATAATTTAAAATTCACATAAATTAATTTTTGTTGAAAATCTAACAGTTTCAGATTGATTCTCGAATGTATTTAAAACTACCGTGTCATCACAGTGATTTTAGTTAGATTTATTTCCACCTTAGGTAAACATGTTAAATTTCCTGAATAATTTTTTTGTCTAATGCCCTAGTTAGTGTGGCTATGCAAAAAAACTATAAATATATATTTCTATCAAGATAATTTTACAATCCTAACTCAAATGTTTGTGTAGAGTAATAATAATGAACTAATAAGTTTTAAAATAATTGCAATGCAGCTCTGTTATGACTGTGTCTGAACCAGGAAAAAAAGAAAATAGTTTCAGCAAGGATTTGCTTTTTATGGAATAGAGATCAGAATCTGTATTCATCTAGCCAGAGAATAAGTTTCCTTTTTAAAGCACTGTCATGTATTCAGAATCTTAATGCAGTGATCATAGACAATATATGAATGATTCCTGAAAATATTTCCATGGAAAGTGTCTTTGCATTACATAACTTCTTTTCTTACCTTGAAGAAAAATCCTTGACCTTGATAAAGTGATCTTTCTTACTTTTGATAGGCAGAAAGGAAATACACTCAGCTTTTAACCATGACTTTTACATAGCTTCCCTGTAGTCAACATGATAAATTAAAGAAAAAGTTGAGGCAACATAATACAGAAATTTTGCATTGTATTGTTTCTGTATTATATTTTAGTTATGAATAGTGTATTATTATTATTTTGTCATATGAACTGGTTCATGAGATGGGTAATTGAGAAGTCTGGTGTATAATACATTGATACTGAGCCAATTGTAATGTAATTATAAGGAAAATTGATCTGAAGTCATCAGTAATACAAAATTTAAATCCCCATGTTTATATTTTTTTAACCAAATTTTGCTAGAAATATAAAGGTTATTTCATTCTAGTCTTTCACATTTACCTTGACATTTCTAAATACTGCTATGTTTTTGACCAACCTTCTTATATGGACAGATACTGAAGGGCTTGAATCTCAAGATTAATTCTGGCCAGACAGTGGCCCTGGTTGGTGGCAGTGGCTGTGGGAAAAGCACAACTGTTCAGCTCATCCAGAGATTTTATGATCCCAAGGAAGGCACGGTAAGACACCTCAAGTGTCATGCAGAGATGACTGCTCTGCATGTCATGTGTTGATAGTCTAATTCCAGCCTCACTGCTCTTTTCAATTTTCCAGTGACATGGTGAAGTGTCCCCTTAAATGGCACATGCTGGCATGGAGAGAGAGGCTCCTTGATCAAAACAAGTAGTAGACAGTTTTTGTCTGCTCTCTTTTGTTTAGGTTACCATTGATGGGCAGGACATTAAGACCTTAAACGTACGGTATCTGCGGGACGTTATTGGCGTGGTGAATCAGGAGCCCGTGCTCTTTGCCACTACTATTGCAGAAAATATTCGCTATGGCCGTGAGGATGTCACCATGGAGGAGATTGAAAAAGCCACCAAGGAGGCAAATGCTTATGACTTCATCATGAAGCTGCCCAATGTAAGCAGATCAGCTCTCCTGCTGCAATAATTTCTTCTAAAACTTCTTGTGCCAAATAGTTCCTCAGAAGGAATGCTTGTTAAGACAGGAACCTATCCTGGACCTGTGAATATGCAGAGCTACGCAGAGCTTCCTCATACCTTTTGAGAATAATGTTAAAATTTTATATCTTCAGGCAATGATTTGGCTGTCATTTGAAGAACTACCAGAATTGCAGGAACACAAATGATTAGTCAGATGTATCCAAGTAGGTGCTTATTCCTGTAGAGAAAGGAGAAGGTGTTACCAGCATCTCTGGCATTGCGGACATCTTTAGTGGAAGGACTGTGACACTGAGTCTTTTCAATACATGTGTTTGTCTTGTAGAAGTTTGAAACTGTCGTTGGAGAAAGAGGGGCACAGCTCAGTGGAGGCCAGAAGCAAAGAATAGCAATTGCCAGAGCTTTGGTTCGCAATCCTAAAATTCTTCTGCTTGATGAGGCAACATCAGCTTTGGATACTGAGAGTGAATCAGTTGTGCAGGCAGCACTGGACAAGGTCAGTAGTGTTTTAAAATGAAGCATGTAAGTAGGAGCATAATATTAACTTCTTTCCTGGACTTTTGTTGAAAATAGAGACACACAAAAACACAAAATGTAAACCTTAATCTGGTAAATATTCTTTGTACAGAAAATTTTTGAGTTCCTGCAGATATTACAGAGAGAAATCTTATTCCAAATTAGAAGACGGAATAATATTTTCTTCCTTATTAAGCTTAAATCAACATTTTCTTGGTGTAAATACCATCCTCATTCATTATCTGTCTTACTGCCGTTCATATTGTTGTCAGTCACCTGTCCTTGCTGAGCCTCGTGAGGTTCTCCTGGGCCTGCTCCTCAGGCCTGTCAGAGACCTCTTGAATGCCATCCCTTCCCTCAAGTCAATAAACTGCACTGCTCAGCTTGATGTCACCCCTGAACTTGCTGAGTGTGCACTCAATCCCATTTACCAGTATCAGTGATGAAGATATTGAACAGTATGGGTCCCAGTATGGACCTCTTGAGGGACATCACTGAAAATGAACTCCATCGAGCTTCCAACAGAATTCCACTGCTTGGGATCATTACATAAAATTTGCTTGATCACTTTAAAACAGCCTCATAATTAAAATTACCAGCTGTGATGTTTGGAATGCTAAGTGTGTTATGCTTATAAATATCCAAAGAAGGATACTTAGCTGAAATACAATTCATATGAAATTTTAGAAAATTTTGTTTTTATTGTAGTCACTTGAGTTAGCAATGACTTACAGCTTAAAACACTGTTATCTTTAAAAGTGAGCGTAAAATATTTTCTAGTGTTTCTGAGTATAAATTCTCCATGGATTTTATAGTTTAAGTGGGCAACTCTGGGCCTAAATATGAAAATTATAGCATTTTAAACATTTTAGTGTTTGTAACATTCTAAAATTTTATATATTGAGATTTTTGTTTAGATATTTTTTGATTAAATGTGATGTATTTATGTGCCACAGTGAAAGATGATCTCTAATATTAAATTTCAATCTTTAAATTATATTTCTCTTTTAAGGAACTCATTTTTAGATTTTTTTTGAAAGTTATATTTTTTCTGTGAACCATTTTAATGTTTCTTTTAGGTCCTATTCAAATGTGCCATGAAGATGAGCAGTTTTTGCATTTACTTATAAATGCTGACATTAACTATTGCTGTTTTCAGGCAAGGGAAGGACGCACCACGGTTGTGGTAGCTCATCGACTGTCAACAGTCCGAAATGCAGATGTGATTGCTGTGTTTGAAGGTGGAGTTATCACAGAGCTGGGCAATCATGCTGAACTGCTTGAGAGAAAGGGAATCTACTACAAACTTGTTAACATGCAGGTACTTCTGTCTCTAGCGTTGCCTCATTTCCTTTTTTTTCCCCCCACCCACAGTCATTTTAGCAGAGGTATGAGAAATTCTGCAGCATATTTTAATTACAGCAAAAGACTTGTGTACTTTGAAAGGTGAGTAATAATTTGAGAGACTACTAGTTTAGCTACAAGATCTGTTTAAACCCAGGATAATACATTTCAATCCTCTAGGTATTTAAACTTAAAAGATGATTTTATGTTTTCCTTTTATGCAGTTAGTGTAGAGAAGATAACTACAGTAGTTTGGTATTCCATTGGTTGTTCTTAGTCTGATAAAAGGTAAAATACAGTAGCTGACTCTGGAGGAATACAGCATGAATATTTTAAGCTGTTTAGCTATATTCCTTCATAAAGAAAAAAAAAGCGCTGGAAGAGAAGAAAAAGAAAAATAATCCATCTATGCCAAGAGCAAAAATGTGTTCTTAACTTATAGAAGTAGAAAAAAAGAGATTGCAAATTATAATAAATTTCCAAAATGCGTTAGCTATTAAATGAAGACCAAGATACTTTGATACTTTCATCCCAATATCCCATGTGACCATTAGGTTATAGCAGATTTTCATTGTAGCCTTTGTTTTACTGCATAACCTCTATGTCCATTAAAGAAACTGAAACTGCCATCTCAGTATGTCACACTGAAGAGGTTAACCAGATCAACTGAAATATTTCTTCATAGCAGAATGCATTTGGTTACCTTAGATTCAAAGTAACTTTGCATCCAAGCAAATGCAAATATGGAGAAAATGAGGAAATACAAAATGGAAAGAAAATTGAAAAATAATTTTAAAATAAAATAAAAAACTGAAAGCAAGTAAAAAGAGACATTTTTAATAGTACTGCAAAAAGCAGTAAGAAATAAAATAATATGGAAAAAAACCGCACAAGTTGAAGGCAACTTTGAATCCAGTTGCTATCAAAAACCTCAGGGTGGGTAGACATGTATTTATTCTCTCAAAGAGACTGGCAAAAGTACCACCAAGGCTCTTTTCCAGGGTGCTCTAATTTTTCAGTCAAAATCTCTTTTTGACTTGTTTCCTCCTGAATCTCCTTATTCCATTTAAAGTCAAGAATTGTTTAGTGTGTTTTTCATTAGAGACAGTAATGTTTTATCACTTCATAAATAAACTGTATATTCCCCAAGAATTCATTCTAAAAGATCCCAAGGAGAGTGCAAAGGGTTTACTCTCAATTTAAAATTTTTTGTTTAATTTATTAAAAAACAGAGCTGCTACTCTCTGTCTTCCACTTACTATAAGAATTTTCATGAGAGATGCAAAGTCATATATGACTAAAGCTCTGAAGATAGAGCTCTAACAAATATTATACAGATTTTCATACCTCTTTAAGGCATTATATGTTGTTCCCCAATATCTCTTTCAACTGAAACAAAGTTACTTTTGCTTTGACTACCTCATAATTTTCAAAGTTTGAAGTAATATATGCATGTTTAATCTTAGCATCATGTTCTTCCCACTTTTAGACAATAGAAGCTGAAGTTCCATCATCAGAAAATTATGAGAAGGTACTTCCATCATCAGAAAATTATGAGAATGTACGCAGTGTCAAAAGCACTGAATCTGAACCAGACTCTGAGGAATCCTTAACTAGGGGGTTGAGAAGACAATCAACTCGGAGAAGCATGAAAAAGCCAGGAGAGCAAAATGATAGTCCTGATGAAGAAAAAACTTCACCTGTAAGTATCTTTGCAGAGCTGTTAGTGAACTTAGTTCCTTTAAACAAAGTTTGTTAAATTCATTCTCCTGCTGAAAAAAGGTACAAAAAGACATGAGAATTTTTAAATACGAAATAGCCTTTGGCTGATAATATTCATAACTTTCTTTTTTAGTTTCAACATAAATGATAATAGAAATAAAGTGATAATATAACAAAGATGATGAATTTGTTATTGAAAGTAATTTTCCTTTAAAAGAAACATACTTACATATATTTATGTACCATACCAACATAACGTATAAAGGTTAAACATTCATTTTTTGATAAGAAACAAAATATTTAGCCCAACATAACAACTTACAACAAAAATTGCAAACCCTCTCCCCCCCCAAATATGATTACATTCATATTTACAGCAATTATTTTAATGTTATAAATTGCTTCATGAACAATTACTTGAATTAATTAATATTACTCACAGTAATATGCCCAGAATGAATAGTTCAGTCATCACTGACCAATACCAAAGTATTCACCAACAAAAATTACATGAATAAACTAATATAAAAAGAAAAGTGCTGTAGATATGGTGTACAGATCTCCCTCACGTTAGAGCAAAAAAAATGAATCATTTATTCATGTTATTAAAAATTATACAGTTTTGCTTCCCCTGAATAGATTCTGGGAATAGGAAATTGATTATTAATCTCTCCTTTTCTCTGTATTTTGCCAAATACGTTCATGTTTGTCCTTATGCAATTCACGTTTTTTAGGCTGAAGAATTACCTCCAGCTTCATTTCTGAAAATTATGAAGTTGAACAAAACTGAATGGCCATACTTTGTAGCTGGAACCTTGTGTGCAATTATCAATGGAGCTTTACAACCTGCATTTTCAGTCATATTTTCTGAAATTATTGGGGTAAGTTGGAATAAAATAAGCAAAAAACTATAAGCCCACCATATTTATTTCTAATATAGAATAGCTTTTTAAGCTATTTATAGAATAAATAGCTTAAAAACAATCACTAAAAACAATCACTAAAGCTGAAGAATGGATGACGCATTCTTGCAAAAATCTGAAAAATTGTATGACACAAAATGCTGAAAATCTTGCTACAACCTGACATATGCTTGTTATACATTAAATATTATGTAATATTTGATTAAATTTCATATGAATGCAATTGACTACCAAAAAAAGTTACTGAGAAAGATGAGAGTATTATAGATTGTTAGTTAATTTTATAAAAACTTTGTTTCAAATTTTATATTATAGATTTTTTCAGAGACTGACAAGACCTTCTTAAGAAAACAGAGCAACTTATATTCACTGCTGTTTTTAGTACTTGGGATCATTTCTTTTTTTACTTTCTTTTTCCAGGTATGTTTTTTAATATTTTAACCTTATTTTAATTGCTCATCATGTTTTAGAAACCTGAAATATACTAAATATTTGCATCTTCATAATATGTCTCCAACTCAAACCAGAACCTGTATTTATGGTTCTAGATATGTCTTGTGCTGAAGCTTTTTTGACCTAGAGCTGCTTGTGTTTAAGAGTGTTTTGAATCTATCAGACCTCTTAACTTTAGAAATTCCCATCTTGTTCATCAGTCAGACACTTCTCAGCACGAAACTCTGGATTTTCTCACTCATTCTCCATTATCAGCTAACAGGCAACCTCTCCAGTCCTCACATTCTACCACCCTCCTCTCATCTCAAGCCTTCCTATTTGACTCTGTTAGTAATTGAAAATCTATCAATCTCCTGCCTTTGTTCTCCAATTTGTTACTTCCCTAACCCTTCCCTTGTGTAAGGGAACGTCCCATATTTCTCCTGTGGGAGACTCCCAGGCCCAGTTTGTCAGGTAACACTCATCACACTGATATTCACTTCCTCCTGCTGAAATACTAAGGGTTTTACCTGATACAACAGTGCCACTTAAAAAAAAAAAGGTAGTAATCATATTAAATATTTTCATATATAGTCCTTTTTATAATTTAAGAACATATTGGTAAAGTTTTATCTGTTAATTGAGCCCACAGAGTGAAATAATACCGTGCTTGGGACAGCAGCATAAATAGCCTCTTGCAGAAACCTGGTTTGTTTGTGGAATTGTCTCATTGCACAAGAGAAAAGGGCCTTGAGTATAGAAGGCTGAATAGTACAGGGCTGTGATAGGTTTGCTCAGTTTAGAAATGTTCAGAAAATGTTTTTAAATTTGACGGATGCATTTGACTGAACCCAGGTTGCATTAAAACGCCTTTAATCTAAAATGAATGACCTAAATGTTACTAGTTTAAATCTGACTTACATTGACTCAGAGAAATGAAGTCAAAGGGTTGATTAGTAACCTTCTCCTTAAAGCATGCTGGTGAAGCAGTGCTGGGAAATATTGCTATGCTCCCTACATTTTTTTTCATTAATAGTATTTGAATATAGGTACTGTGAACCTACTAGAATTTATGTATATTAAACCTGGTTTTACATTTGCTTTCTGCAAACAGGACAGCAATACTTTTTGCTTTGACATTGTAGAGGCAATTCATCTAAAATATTTATTGAATAAACACAAACAGTGTAATACTATACTAAGCATTGTACTTTCTCTCAAACAGGGTTTTGCATTTGGCAAAGCTGGAGAAATTCTGACAATGAGGCTTCGGTTCATGGCATTTAAAGCAATGCTTAGACAGGTAAAGATAATAAATATTTTAACTTCCAGGGTTTTTAAAAGAATTTATGGTATTGGTATAAAATAACTGGATTCTACATCACTGTGTCATACAGAGAAGATAGTTTAAATCAGACTAGAAACCAATTTGATTAATTACATGTGGTTATGCAAAGTGTCCTTAGAGGGAGAGTCTGAAATCAATACAAGAACTTTTTATGTACTTCTTGCAAAGACTTAGTTTTATAGCCAAGTTACAAGGGCCTGACAAGTTGATGTGCACCAGCAGTATCCCATTACCTGTTCATTTGCCTGCTTTGCTTTCTTTGGGCCCTCTCTCCCCTAAAGAAATGCAACATAACTTACACTGTAACTCTTACTTCAAATGTCTGATTTGAATTATGATATGTACAGATATGTGGTTTTATGTATTTATTTGAAGTCTCCGTACAAGCACCCAAATCTCTAAGTGTTGTTTGTTAATGCAACAATAAGATTGTGTATTGAAAAGTAAAGCCACTTTCAGAGAGGTAAATATAAATAGAATGTAATGTTGTTAATTCTAAATTGGCTAAATTTTGCATGATTTCAGGATCAGTATTTTAGATTTTGAAATACAAAATATGATAGTTATGGGGTTTTAAGTCTTGTACATAAAGCTACATGTAGACACAGAATTTGATTCATGTGAACATGACTATTTTCAATGTGACAGAAAACTGTTGCAGTCTGAAAAATCATGATTTATAGATCAGCCATACTAAAAATCTAATGAAAAGGCAATCTTACAATTGAGTCTTGAGGTCACAAATGCTTGTAATGCATTATCAGGTCTTCATTCAATGCATACTACACATGACAGTTTAAATCAGATATTTGGTGAACAAATCATAAACTGTGTACCTGATCCAAACAATTAACTTTGATCAGATGGAACAAGTTGATTTTTCCTTTTGTTGGTTTTTTTTGGGTTTTCTTTTTGTTTTGTTTTGTTTTGTTTTGTTTTTTGGTTTTTTTGTGGTGTTTTGTTTGTTTGTTTTGTTCTGTTGTGGTTGTTGTTGTTGTTGTTAGATTGTTGGTGTCTCAAAGCTTAAAAATATGCCTCTTCAATATGGGAAGAAACAAAGCAAGGAATATTTAGTTTTTAACCTGAAAATGCTTTACATTTAACCCCTCCCCAAACAGCTTTGCAACCATGAGGGAGTGTGACCAAAGAGTCCTCTCCTCCAAGCAGATTCAGTGAAGGAGCAGCAGTGAGGGAGGGTAAATTTTGCTTTTGGAATCTCTCAGCTGCCCCCCTTCCTTCTCAGCAGTGACAATGAATACATCAATGATTCACAAGATTACACTTCTTTCTAAATATATTCAATGTGCAGTGATGGAATTAAACTTATTTAAATATGTAGAACTGAGGCACTGCCACTTACCAGATTGACTTAGCAGTTTATTTGAAATGTCCAAAATCTGGTCTTATAAATAATTTTTCTTATTGTAGGATATGGCCTGGTTTGATAATCCTAAAAATAGCACTGGAGCATTAACTACAAGACTTGCTAATGATGCCTCTCAAGTGAAAGGAGTAAGTAAATTTAATTTTGTGTTGGAAGTTTTCCTATTTGGTTTAGCATGCAATGAAGTTGCAGCTTGGGTTTGACTAGCTGGATTCCAGTCTTGATTTTGACAACTAAAATATACTATAAAATTGTATATTTTATATTTTAAAAAAATTATATAAGAATTATTGTACCAGCTATTGTATATATATACCAATAGCTGGTAGAGAATGCACTGATGCACTTTATGAAAATTATGGTAATATATATTTACAGACTAATTTCCAAATAATTTTTTCTAAAAAATAAACTATTGTGTTGTATTGTGATCTTTATTATTAAACAAATTTATTGGGAATCTCCTACCTAAGAAGTCTTTTTAAAGAGGTTTTTTCACCTAAAGACATGCAAATAAATTTATTCAGTTTACAATCTCCTGCTATTTTTTTGGTTGTACAGATTTCCTATTAAAAAAAAAGAACTTTCAGCAATTGACTTTCATTTCTCAGTTACCTTATGGAGATTCTTTATTAAGTAAATTCTGTGCTTTCAGGGTTATGTAATATCAAGCTAAAGTACACTGAATGTAATAATTTGTGTATGCTTAAGTAAATTTTTACTGCTACATGAAGTAATATGCTTGGTTTTTTTCTAAACTAAAGGATTCTGAAGTATCTTTGCCTTTATTTCAATAGGAAAAGTTAAATATTTAATTTTCTTTCTTATTGGGCTCTGTGTGATGACTTGTAAAGCTAGCTCTGTGATCTAAAAAATTTGACAGATTTTAATGTTTAGATGTAAATGTGAGTATGTGATGAGGGTAAAGCTTGTTCAGTTTCAAGAGCAGAATTTAGAAATTGCAGAATAAATTGAAGTAATCAGAATATGGGGAAATAAGATATAAATATGATCTAGATAACTTTTTACAAAAGCATTTTAAAAACTGCCATTTTGAAAAATAGCAAAACTGAATCAAGACTTTCTAAGCAGTGCTTTGAGAATCAGGAATTTTATAGGTGAAAGTGCTTTCTTATTTAAAATGCAGTTATGTTGGTAAGAAATGCCTTTTTTTTCTTGTCCAGGCAACTGGTGTCAGACTAGCATTAATTGCCCAAAACATAGCCAACCTGGGGACTGGAATTGTTATATCATTAGTTTATGGCTGGCAGCTGACCCTGCTGCTTTTAGCTGTTGTGCCCATCATTGCAGTGGCAGGAATGATTGAAATGAAGATGTTGGCTGGGCACGCTAAGAAAGATAAACGAGAGCTGGAAGCTGCAGGAAAGGTGGGTCAAGAGAAATGAATCTGTTTCTGTATCATGTATACATTCATATATACCAAAGCATTGTTAATGGATCTATGACTTCTGAGCCCAAAACATTTCACAATATGCAAGTTCCAAAGACAGCCAGGTACACTGGCAGACCTACAGAGCATCACACCTCTTCAATAACAATTGAAGACTTATGGTATTAACCAATTAATATTTTTGTAGTTAAATGTTGGAATGTGCTAAAGACAATTCAGGCATATTCTCTTCTCATTCCTTTTCTAGATACCTTTGTTTTCCTTATTTTGCTACCACTCTCATTTTGGCATTCTTTTTTTTTCCTGTCATCCCTTTTTGGCATGCCATCTATCTTATGTTTATTACACTGCTTTTTTTTCTCTTCCCTTCTTCATCTTATTAATGTTTGCAGAGATAATATGTATATATCCACTGGTTTCTGTTTGCCATTCCTTTGTTTCTTGAGTGGAAGAGAAAGATGAGAGCAGAAAAGCAAGAAGGCTAGACTCTTGTTTAACAAATTAAATGAAGGCATTTAATGTCACTTCATTCCAAAAATCCTATTGGGACAGAACAACTATTTCATCACTTCCCAGATACTGCTTTCTTCAAGGTAAAGCTTTTCTAAAATCTCTTCTTATGTCCTACTCTTTTGAAAAGTTGCTGAAAAGAAAATCATTTATCTAAGGTCATGCAATTCCATTCCTTTCCTTTCAACTGCGTACATTTCTTCTGCTTCTCTCTGAGGGATGAGAATTTATTTTGTTTTGTTGTAAGATGTGATACAAAATAGTTGACAATTTTTGCAATAAACATTAAAGACTTTCTTAATGCAGTATATTGGGAAGAATTTGTAACAGGTGTTACAAATATTTCGGATTTTTTTTCAAAACTCAAAAAAAAATATTTTCTTTTCATAGTAATGTTAGTTTCCCTTCTCACAGCCACCTAAGCAAGCACTGGACTACAGGCATTTTATTTATTATAATTTTTTAAAAAATATGGAAATTTTTTCAGTAAAAATAGTGTTCCCCCTGCAAAATTCACTTTCTGCAAAGAGTTGCTGAACTTAGGTTACTAAAAAACCTTACTTTATTGTCTTAATTAAACTAAAATTACATTAAATGTATACAATAGCAAAATGCATTGAAGACTTGAGAGTCTTTTGGAGAATCATCACATTTGGAAGAGACCTTCAAGGTCGTCAAGTCCAACCATCAAGGCAGCACCACCATAATGACCCCTAAAGCACATCCCCAAGTGCCACATCCATCTCTTGAGCACTTGCAGACACAGTGACTCCACACCTACCTGGGAAATCTATTTGAATGCCTGACCAACCTAACAGTGATTTTTATTTTTTTTTTTAATATCTAATCTGAATCTCCCCTGGAACATTTGTGTATACAAATGACTCAAGTCTAAAGAATCTGCAAGCTAAAAGAAGGTATCAGAGCAAATATTTACTGCTGAGATCTCAGTTAGGCTCTAAGGCACCTAAATAACCTGGATATTTTGATTGTAGCCCAAACCCTGCAGACTGGAAGTTGAATGCTAATATGCCATTTTTCATGTTGAGTATCTTCTCTATATTTGTTATTGCTGTCTAATGGGTTTTCACCTTTTATTTGTAGAACATAAAGGAGGTCTTATCAGAAAATTTTGAGCATTGTAAGAAAATCTCATTCTGAAAAGAAAAATGTAAAATGCTTATTTTTATCTCAACAGTCTATGATTTTAATAACCAGTATAAAATATAAAATTGTATTCCAACAGAATCTTCTATTAATTTAGAATAAGGAATTGCAGCATACTTAATTTTTGATTACAAAAACCATTTGTTTTTCTATTGCAGATTGCCACAGAAGCAATAGAAAATATTAGAACTGTTGTTAGCTTGACCCAAGAAAGAAAATTTGAGTTGATGTATGGAGAACATCTGATTGTGCCATACAGGTATAATAAAATAACTAAGCTAAAAAACATCTGTAATAAATTGCAAACATTTACCTCCACAATAATAGATTTTTTTTGATAGTGTGTATGTTTTAATGTATAATTTAACTATCTCAGAATTAATGTCAATATTTTGCATATTTGTATTGACAAATGCAACCACCACCAGTCAACATTTTTTAAAAATTTTATTTAATTAATTTTCTGTTATAATATTGGTATTAAAATGTTACTTGGTTTGGAAAAATGTTGGTTTTAAGTGAGCTTTCGAAGTGGTCTAATCTAAATTTCCACCTGATTTGTTGGATATTTAATTAAAACTATTTTAATATAAAATGAATATTACATTAGGCCACTAATGTAAGTGTTAGTAAGATCAAAAACATTTGAATAATTACTTGCTGGTTTGGGGCTGAAAATAAATTAATATAAGTCTGTCTGGACTAAATCAAAATTTAAAAGTCTTAAACTAAAAAACTAAATAGATCCTACAAATTAAAGTTTTATTTGTTCCAGACTGGACTGTTTCCTTTTCAGACATCTATGAGAAAAGTAAAGAAAATGAAAGTATATGTACACAGATATAATGGGAAAGAAGCAGGGGGGCCACTAACACATCTACCATAATAAATGAGTGGTTGGAGCACAGTGCAGGACATAAAAGATACTACTTAGCTTTTTTCCCAGGCTGCTGGCTTTTGAGCTCATATCTCGTGATTTGCAGAACAATTTCTAACCATTCCCAGGGTTGGCATTGATGGGATAGCTCCAAGACTTTCATCTTTCTGTTGTTCTAGTATAAATAAGAACTTATTGCCCTACGAGAGAGAAGTGTTTTTAGTTAATGTTTTGGTGTATGTAAACTTTACATTCATAACAGTATCAATTGAAGTCAATTGTTTAAATGTTTTTGGTGTACTAAGATTTCAGTATGACTGCACACTTTGATGAAAATATGCATTCTTTCTGTACAGAAATTCTGTGAAGAAGGCACATATATTTGGCTTTTGTTTTGCCCTTTCACAAGCAATGATGTTCTTTACCTATGCTGGCTGTTTCCGGTTTGGTGCCTACCTAGTGGTAAATGATCTCATGAAGTTTAAAAATGTATTTTTGTAAGTATCTCTCTTACAATCCCTTTTCTGTCTGTTCAGAAAAATTAATTAAGAGAAACAGTTCAATACATGGGCTATGGAAACAAGTATGATAGACTGAGATTCTACCAGTGTGGGTATCAGTGACCTAAATACCCAAGAAAGTCAACCATACTGATTTTTTGTTGCCAACCTAATTAAAGATAGTTAACACAGCTCATTTAGACCAGAAGATGTTAGAAAGTGTCTGTATTCCATCTACTAGCTGAGCATCTCTAGCCAGCTGAGTGAATTTTTGGATTTGAAAGGGAGGGTTTGAGCAAAAACTGTGTGAGCCCTTCTATACTGTTCAAACACAGAATAAAACAGATCACTTTATGTAGCTCTGAACAAAAAAGACAAAGTTAATAAAAATGAATCTATTTTACTTTGCCTTAAAACAGGCTAAGAGGTTTCATGTGCCAAATAGATGTTCTTGGTGATGATTTTTTTTCTATGTGTGTGGCAGTAAGTAATAGCTGGAGACAACAGGTTTTTAAACTATTCTAATGTAGCCTATAAATTACATAAAATTCCATAAAATGACTTAAAAGTCATCAAAAACCAATAAAAGCATAGTTTTCAACCTTTATCAGTATTGTAAATCCTGCAATTTTTTCCAGCAGAGATGTGGTAGAAAATTAAATCTTGATTGTCACCTTGTTACAAGCTTGATTTCTTATTTTCATTGATGCCTTAAAAAGTGATCAATAACTCCCAAAGGTCATTAAACCCTAGAGAGGAAACCACAGTGAGGATGGAACAGCATTAGAGTAGCAATGATGCCATCCATTGATCCCTTTCTTCACAGCCCCAGCTGAGACTTAATATACTAACCAGAATAAAAGAAACTAAAGAAATTACTGCTAATATGTAATGAAAACAGTGAATTTGGAATGCAGGCATGTTTATCTCATTTCATTAAAAGAAGATAAAAAGAAATTTCTGGAGCTAAATTAATAATTGAAGCAATAATTGTTGATTACTACTTCATTCTTTCTAAATTTAGCCCTCTTTTTTCTCTGAGTAAAAGTTGACTGCAGCCACATTTCCACTGTTCTTTTCTTCATGATATTTTTTTCCTGATTTCTTTATAGAGTGTTTTCAGCTGTTGTATTTGGTGCAATGGCACTAGGACAAACCAGTTCTTTTGCTCCAGACTATGCCAAAGCCAAGATATCAGCAGCCCACTTGTTTCAGCTGTTTGAAAGAGTGCCCTCAATAGACAGTTACAGTGAGGAAGGAGACAAGCCTGTGAGTAAGCCATGAGTGCTGGGTGATACTATTTACTGGTGATATGGACAGCCCTCTCCTCCCTCTCTTCAAACTGATTCTTCCCCTCCTTCTGATTGCATCCTTATCACAATGCATCTTTGGCACTCTCTGAACAAAACATGGACCAAGTTCCCTATTGTCTGTCCAGCTTTTGCACACAGAGTCAAAAGGGTATTTGTTTTGAAAATCTCTTTTGACTTCTGGAGGGGTGGGGATACTTCTGCAATTCTATTCTAATCATCTGTGAAATTGTCTTAAAGATGTAACAGTGATAATATTTTCATTATAGGAAACATTTCAGGGGAACATAACAATCAAAGATGTGGTATTTAACTACCCAAACCGACCAGAGGTCAAAATCCTTCAAGGGTTGAATCTAAAAGTAGAAAAGGGACAAACTCTGGCTCTTGTTGGCAGCAGTGGCTGTGGAAAGAGCACTGTTGTTCAGCTGCTGGAGAGATTTTATGACCCGCTCGATGGAGAAATGGTAAGTTTTTTTGCAAGAACATGTCAACAGGTTAAGTGAGGGTGTTTTTCATTGGTTTTCTGTGATTTTATAAGTACAATAGGTATTTCTAGTTTTATTTTTAAGTATTTTTAAGTGACTCATTGGGTCTTCTTAATTAAACTAGATGTATGTAAGTCCCAGTTTCCCACATCACAATTACTGATCCACAGTCTCGTTATGGCTTTAAATTCAGGACAAATTTCTTGAGGTTTTTATAATAAGAACAGTTTAAAAACTAATAAATATATGTATCTACTTCTGTATGATCTAGTAATAGAATTTTCCATCTATGTTCTTTCAAAAAAAAGGTGAACATTGACAAAAGTATTTTTTAAATTATTTTTTCCTTGTCAGGAACATCTTTAAGAGTATGCCTGCTTATTAAGTGATAGATTGTAAATACTTTCAGTAATATTGGTTTAAAATGTAGGGCTTCCTATGCTACTCATTCAGCAACTTTACAATTTTTTTTTCACATAGTGGTACTGTTAATTGCTGTTGTTCTTTGGTGTAAATGAGCTCAGAGGTTTTAGAAGAATTTTAGATCTTGTCTCTGCAGAGGTACTCACAAAGCATAAAACTATAATTAAATAAAGCCTAGATACAATGGAAAAGATTTTTTTCAGGTTAAAAGTGCCCCAAAAGGTTCAATGTAGCAAAGTGATGTGTAGAAAGAGGCAACATAGGTGCCTCAAAAGTGTGTTTAACAAACTACAACTTCCTTCCCAGTGTTTCTGGCCTTGTGTCCATGAATAACCAACAACAGTTTACTGAAGGGTAAAGCACAGACCTGTGCCATAGAAACCACAAAAGTGCTGGACTAATTCTCAAGCTGAGTTGCACTGTGAACTGAGTGAAAGGGGCTTAGCTTAAAGCAGAAACTGTCAGAACAGGTGTTCACTAAAGTTCCCTCATTTCAATGGATTTTGAATCAGGTTCATTATAACACCTTTTCTGTTGAAGAAAAAGATATATTGGCTGAAAATTGACAGTTCTAGCACCAGCTGTGGGGTTCATAGAATAATCTCCTCCAACAGCCATGCTATGAAGGGGGCAATTCTTCAACTACCCAGCTGATCATGTCACCCAACACAGAGCCTAAGTGCTGCACTGGGTCACTCTAGTGGAGATTTAACAGCCCTTTTAATGTCCTGGTTTATTTGTGTCCAAGACAACTGTGTAATTATGAAGCTGATATGTTAAAAAAATTAAAATTCTGTATTTATCTAATAAAAAATGATAGCAATTCAGCAGGCATATTTAGCAGAAGTATGAGAGAGTTGCCAATAAAGAAAACTGGCTGCAAATGACATCTTAAGGAAGTAAACTTCTTCTCTATAGATGCAAAATAGAGGAAAATTTTCCTGCAGAAGAAACAAATGAAAGAACTTTACCCAAAGTTCTTTGAAGTTGCTTTAGCATATCCTATCTTCCACTGTCTTCAAAATCCTAATTAAATATTGAACTAAAGAAAAGGACTGAGGCAGCATTCACTTCTGTGAATTAGAAAATTTTGGAACATAGACAAGAAGGAGGGGAAGGGATTATGTGGGCTTGCAATTGGTAAGAAAGAGCTAAGGAAAGAGCTGCAATTGCACAACTGCTGTGTATGAATTTACAGTAAGTCTCAAATTTATATATAGCCATGTGACTAAAATTTAAAATGTTTGCTTTCTCAGTTTTTTGATGGCAAAACTGCAAAGGCACTGAATATCCAGTGGCTGAGAGCTCAGATTGGTATTGTCTCACAAGAACCAATCCTGTTTGACTTCACTATAGCTGAAAACATTGCCTACGGAGATAACAGCCGGCAGGTGTCCTTCGAGGAAATTGTTAGTGCAGCAAAACAAGCCAATATCCATTCCTTCATTGACTCACTGCCAGATGTAAGTTACTCCCTTTCTTTCCTTCTCAGAACTGGATGTGAACTTAAGTGGCAGGGAAAAACTGTCTGTTTATAATTAGCTGGGGTACAAAAATTCTCTGAGATGAAAATAAATCTGAAACATTTTAAAAAATATTTTCCTTACTTAATTCTGTTTAGGCATATTTATTTTCACTCTGGGAAATTCCACTGGCAGATAGAGAGTGGAACTTTTAAGCTCTCAGGGAAGAAGACACACAATTATAACTAACTGAGAGCTGCTACTAAGGGGTGGGGGTTTTAAAGTTGAACATTTTTTTTAAGCTCCTGTCTTTCTCAAGCATATGTAAAAGATTCTGCTAGACTGATGAGTTTACACTTTCTTCCAGTTATACCTAGCCAGAATTTGAATTTTAAGTATTCCTGTGGTCTGAAAATTACTAAGAATTTTTCACCTATATGCATGAGACAAACACATAATACTATAAGACTGAGCATCTTGGGTCAGATGAAAGGTCTGCCATGCACAAAATATTGTCCTTATGCGGTGACCAGGAAGATGTAATTACAAGTATTGAGAAAGGCTAAAAATTTAATCATATTTCCCCTAAATATTCATCTCACTCTGAATGATTTTTTGGAGTTTGAACCCCAGTATTTGAACCCACAGACTTTCACTGACCCTTGGCGTTGTGTTGTCTGATTGAGAATAACATTGTCATTTCAACCTCAGAGTGGCTTGTTGCTTTGAATTCATTAAACACTTGATGTTACAAAGAAGTTGACCAGTAAAGATCAATAGATTCGTGACAGATAGAAATTCTGGTCTAGAATTTCAAAGCCACTGGTGTGGAATATATAGATCATGGGAGGCTGGTGTCAGAGTTGATATGCTTCAATATACATCCAAACTGATTTTCACTCACAGCCTGAACTCAATATATTTTTTCCAGAAATACAATACCCGTGTAGGGGACAAGGGGACGCAGCTTTCTGGTGGCCAGAAGCAGCGGATCGCTATTGCCCGGGCTCTCGTACGCAGGCCCCAGATTCTGCTTCTGGATGAAGCTACTTCTGCCTTAGACACAGAAAGTGAAAAGGTAACTTAAGTCCCAGCCGGGAATCTGGAATCTAAACTTTTTTTTGGATTATGATTACTGTTTTACTCCCATAGTTTAAAGTCAAAAGCTGGAAATATGGTGTCCTATGCAAATTACATATTTAGGCAAATAATAGGCAAATATAAATGTCTTACCCCTCCTTGGGGGGAAAAAAGTATTTTTTACATCTGTATGGCAGTAGGCAGATTGAAGTTTCTATGAAGAATGTATTCCTTAGCATAGAAGTCTTCAGGATTCAGCTGAGAAAGTGCTATCAAAATTGTATCAGGGCACACAACCTACAGAAGCTAAAAAGATTGAGGATAGTGCCAGAGAACATTGGGGGGTTTTTTTCTGTGAAACTGTGCTATGTGGCTTTCTTAAGTTTTCTTCCTTCTCCCATTGCTCTCTGGTCCTTGCTACATGTTCATGGCTAAAATGAAAATTTTAGGTAAAAATTGCTAAAACATTTACTTTTTTTTTAAGGCCAAAGCTGAAATCTTGATACTACAGAAGTACAATCCAGCTGAAGAAAATTAACAGAGTCTACAAAAATACTTACTATTAATGAGGCAAATAATATATCATATATTATAATCTGGAAAGTTAAGGTTTCTACTAAGTTTTGATCAATTGTAGGCATGAAAAAATGAGGTTTAAAGGGAAAACGCCATTAAATAATTCCATGATTTATTGTTTTCTTGATTATATGCCAGCTAGGTATTTAAATTTAACCTCTTACTTTATTCTGCATTAATAAGCATAAGGAATAAATACAAGAAAGCAGAGATTGTTTTTAATATCTTCTGCCAGTGATAGCTTTAAGAAAATGTGATTCATGAGACTCCCTGTGAAATCATGAGAACTAGTATGATAGCAGCTGGCCCAAGAATATTGACTTCCATATATAATTAATCAGTCATGAAAGAAAGCTGTGGAGGTCCCCAGTTAAACCTCCTCTTCACACAAAGGCCAATGCTGAACTCAGATTTAGATTACTTTATGCTGTGTCTGATAGGGTACTTGAAAATCTCAAGGAGATTCAGTAGAGATGTTTTTGTCCCTGTTCCAATGCCTAATTATCCTTGCAGTGAATCCTTTTTATATCCAGTCAGAACATCTCCTACAATTTAAAACCATTTTCTTTTTTTCTCCTGCCATGCATCTCAGTAATGAGCCTGGTTCCTTCTAATTGTCTTAACTATCACAGCATTTTCCACTCTAACAGCCTGGACTCTGCCAAGACACAGGCTAATTCTAAATCAAGAAGCTTGAGCAACAGATATTCCCTTTCCTTCCCTGCCATATTTGAGCTTCCAGATGGCAGTTGAGGTGTATGTCCCAGCAGCTGCCAGAAGAGCTCACCTCTTGGTTTGTTCCTTGTGCAGATTGTCCAGGAGGCGCTGGATAAAGCTCGGGAAGGTCGCACGTGCATCGTGATAGCTCACCGCCTCTCCACCATCCAGAACGCCGACAAGATCGCCGTGCTCCAGAATGGCAGGGTCACAGAGCAGGGCACCCACCAGCAGCTTCTGGCTGAAAAAGGTGTCTACTATTCCCTGGTCAATGTTCAAAGTGGGTAATGCAACATCTCAACTCAAGGCAGCATTTATCTCTCAATTGTCACTGTGGCTACTTTTGTCATTGTAATTATTTCAGTATCAACAATCAGTCTTGATACTTTTGGTATTCTTCATTCCTTTCATACACTATACAAACCCAAGAAATACTAAGTAAATGTGTACCATTTTCTCCCTACTAGTTTTCATTATTCAAACCTCTTTTTTTGTGGCCAAAGCAGATGCTCATGGCACTCATGAAAGTAGAAGCATGCTAAGCCAAATGTAATTATTATTAGCTGGCTTTGAACTCTTTCAAAAATAACACTAATTAGGTATGAGCAACTTGGAAATATTTTCATGCTCATTAAAAACAGTTTTGCTCTTGTCAGAAATAAACCTCAGGCCTTATCCTCGCTGTGCCTGTGTAAGACAGTCAGTCCTGGCCTATTAGGCTTGTTACCATACGTTATGAGAACTTGCAGGTCAGCTAAAGCTTGATGCCAGGTGTCTCCTGTTATGATGTGGAGTTTTAGTAAAGGCCTTGAAAATATGGGCACAGGCTGAAAACAAAGGTCCCAGAACTGTAAGTACCTTACTGATGGTTAGTTACTGATCAACTGATCAGTTAGTTGCAACCTTAAGAGATGGAAAAAGACTGCTTGAAATGAAACAGAAATTAAACAATAAGGAAAAAACCCAAGACCATAACTGATGGACAAGACAAGGCATCTTCTGCGGCCTGCGAAAGTACTCTCTGCAAGTCTCTCAAAGGCCTCGGAGTAAGAGGTCAAGGACTAAGAGCTCTCTAAAGGGTGCAGTATTTTATGCAAGGTGAAAATCCTGGATTTGGACTTGGAGGAGGGGGAAGGAAAGCATCCTTTTCAGTGTTGACATCCTTGGCTGAAGAGCTCTTGAACCTGAGCACTGCCATGACTGAGATTCTCAAGGACTGTAACCATCGGTGCTGAATTCCTGCCATGGGCTCTGGGATATTGTATATTATTTGCAAATATATGATGGCTGTTAAGGGATAACTGCTTTGAACGTGGAGTAATATTGACTAATAACTACTAATGACTAAAAAGTAGAAATGTATTTTGTTAGTATTTATGCAGTAAAGTTTTATTATTAAGTTTAAAACTGTCTTGATTAATCAATCGTCCGCACTTCTGTCATAGCAATTTCTCATTCCCTGAGATTTATACCTATGGTCTGTCATACCCACACCCAGATATTTTCATACCCACACCCAGATATTTACTCACACAGAACCAGTCTCTAGCCAGATAGGCCATATCAATTAGGCTCAACCATGTACTAATTACACTCTACAGAATGTTGATTAATGCAGTCTCGCTGTATACCTGTTGAATCACATACCTGTTTTGTTTTGTTTTATTTCTGTCTTAGATGGAAAACCAGTTTTACTGGAAAATTTGTTTGTTTCTGTTTATGCATTGCTTGATACAATAAGGTTCTTGTCTGTCAAGAAGGATATTACTCTGCATAATAACATAAATAAGTTATACTTGCAACTGTAAGAATGAAATAGGTACTCTTCAACATTATAGTCTGAAGACTCAAGTAAGAACATAGAGTGATTTTTTTAAATTAAATTCTGGATGTTAGTATTTTTTTTTAAACTAGTATTTTTAATCGTGGATGATACATTTCTAATTATTGGATTAGGGATGATTGAGTTATTTCCCCGACTCATTCAAGCTCTTCATGAAAATCAAGATAACACCGTAAATATTTTACCAGAAACATCTGAAAACCATTTTTTTTTAAATTTTGGCCATATGATTTAAAATATATTTCAGAAATTCATGTCAAATGCAGAAACTTTCCAAAACAATCTATTTTCCCCATTCTTTTTTCTACACTTTTAAAGAAGTATTTGTTTAGAGACTTATGCAAAAGTTTGTATAATAATTCCAAATCCACTATAAGTGTTTGAACAGCTGTGCTGCTGCTCACAATTACATCCTTTTCAGAATTTTTTTTCAGAAGACCATGACAGCCATATTGCTACAACTGAACTACCATTCAGTCACTCATCATGTAGTTTCTAGGCACAAAGCCAAGAGGACAGACCAAGACACCTCCAAAGTTGTGTTCTTCATCATATTCTTTTCATACACCTTTAAATGGTTTACCCAAAGGAAGGGTTGACTGAACTAGGACAATTCTGCTTTAAGGACTATTGTTCTACCACATCTTTCTAAGGGGCTGAAGAGGTCTTACTCCTTAGCTCTGCCTTTTCAGTTAAGCTCGAACCATTCTGGTTCCCCTTGATGTCACAAGACACTTTCCTGAGCTCTAAGTCCTCCTTGTTGGAGCAGCCAGCTCTTGTCTTTGCCCATGAGCACCCTCAACACAGGATGTTATGTATATGTTGTTATTCTGAAATAATAGGCCTTTTTTCCTCTGTCTTTGAGAGCCTGCAGCAGTTTCAAGCAGTACTCACTGTTTTGAGGGGAGGTAATTTAATGTTTTCCACACATTTCTTGTGCCTCTAGACCACATTTCTTTTGCCTCACTATCTTTGGAGCAAGTCTTTAGAGAGATGTCAGCATTTACACCACCTTGGCAATCCTAACCACTTTGCAAGCAATGCCACTGACTGTGGGGAAACACAAAGCAAGCACTTACATTCAACAGTCTGATAGCCCTCCTGCTGAAATTATTAATCAAAAGAGAGTTCTCAGAAGAAAAAGAGGATTTAGGTCTAGAAAGTAATTTTTACTGCAGATTTTTATCTGGCTGTTAAATACCAGTGTACTATTGCCCAGGTTTCTCCAGCATTTGATTCCTGCAAGGATAATTGGCTGTTCCTTATGCAACAAATATCTCATTTCTAAACCCTTCTATAATTTCTGACACAGAGTGAGAGCATGAGTAAACTCCTCATTCTCCCTCACCTCAAGAGTTTCTGAAAGAGTATTTCTCATCAGTACTGTAGACCATGTACCATGTCCACAGGAAGACTATACATCAGCTCTGGATCTCCACTAGTCTCTTCTTCAGGCATTCCTTCAATGTCTTCCTGAACTATCCCACATGTTGTTCAAGGTCTTCCTCCTAAATCTGACTCCCCATCAATCAAGATTTAGTGGAACCAGTTCTCCTTTCTTGCAAGTAAATCCTTTGAACCTGATGTCTCTTTCCTGATGCTATACTTGTCTATAAAATCAACCTTCCTGGGAGTTTAATTTCTGTAAGACACTAAATACCTCCTTTAAGCATTTGTTAATGAGTAATCCTTGTAATCATTCATAGCACAAATAGACATAAACATAATATCTTCCTCAAGGTGTATAGTCTATTTGCACCTTTGTAACTCTTTGTCCTACTACTCTCCCTCAAGATCCAGTCTAACTTGTAGATTTGGTCATTGAAAGGAAACAAGACAGCTTGGAGGAAAGAAGAAACTTGATACACTACTTATGAATCCAGGGCAAAATCGTTCAATTCTTGTGCAGAAAAAGCTACATTGCAATTGTTATCTATGGGCAGTCTAAGTAACTGTTATTATCAAGTACTCAGTCTTCTAGACAAACTGTCTAGAACAATATATTTAATCATAAATTTATTCTGTATTTCCAATAGAGGATGGTATCATTATTCTACCATTATCGTTATTACCTGAAGATAGTAAATTGAAAGCTGAAAGTAAGAAACAGGACTGGCAGCAACTTCAAATTTTTTGCTGTGAATTTCATGGACTCTAGAGCTATCAAAAGTAGACAACAGGAAGGAAAAGAGCAGAACACACAACTATTTTTGGCAATCCCTGTTATTGAAAGGTGAGTACATTTCATTTTGTCTTTGTGGGCTTATTTCTGTATGCATTTCTATTCCACTAAAGATGGAGATCAGTACCATAATGCTGTTGCTGTAGAGATCTAGCACAGGACTGCACATAACTCACAGTGAGTATTCAACCTAAATAATTTCTCTAAGCAAGTCTATCTTCTGCAGGGTTAAAAGAGGTCTGGGCAATGAAGACTGGGGCACATTTCATCCTGCTCTAGAGTTGCTGTCACTAGCAGGTCAGATTAGCAACAACCTTGTATTGTATCTCTCCATAGGAGGGTGTGAGATGATTATCATAAATACATTTATTGTTAATGCCCTGGTGTAGAGTACATGAATCACACCTTGAATGAGCGCTCTGCTAAAATTAGCATCTTAGATCCTGCATTATGTAATGTTTTATAAAAGTAGATCCATAAACACTGGCTGCAGCCTTACATTCACTAAGTCAGAGGCATTCTTAATAGAAATACTAGAAATTGTATGGGGCTGTTTGAAAATGTCCTGACATTTAAAGTTACTGGTAACTTAAATGTAAATATCGTGCTTACATATATAATCTCTGAGTAGAAATTATATCATTCATTTGCTTATTAAAGGAGACAAATGTGTTAAGAATCTTTTTTGAATAGACAAACACTTGTTCTAAGATAAAAAAGTGTGATCCTTACATCAACTAACAAACAGAAATTGTTTTATTTCCATGTTAATTCTGATTTAGTTCTCAAATCACAGATGAAAAAGGAGGAAGTGAATAACTTGATTAATCCAAGAAAAAAAACATCAGTTCATTATATACAAGATGTTAAAATGAAGCAATGTTGAGGGGAGAAGGAATGCATATCTATGTGATACAGGAACCGTGGGTTCCCACTTACATTTCAAATGTCCATAATTAGGACAGCTTTCATTACAGCAATATATTAAAAAGCCAGAGCAGAACTTAGAAAGAATTAAGCTACCATAGAATCATAGAATGACTTGGGTAGGAGGAGACTTTAAAGAACATCTGGTTCCAACCCCTCTGCTGTGGGCAGAGGCACCTTCCACTAGACCAGATTATTCAGAGCCCCCTCCAACCTAGCCTTGAACACTTCCAGGGATGGGACATCCACAGCTTTTTTGGGCAACCTTCTCCAGTGCCCCACCACACTCAGAGTAAGGGATTTTTTCCTACTACCTGGTCTAAGCCTGCTGTCTTTCAGTTTGAAGCCATTTCCCCTTGTCCTGTCCCTACATGCCCTTGTAAGCAGTGTAGGTGCACCATGGCCAGCACTATTTGCTCTCTTCACTGCTCTGGCTGTGACAAACTGTTTGGTTAACACTGGCACCACACTTTTGCTTTCTAGGTACTCTTCTTTTTCCCCAGGATTAAATTCTTCTTACCTTCCCTTTGACATATATGACATTTTGTACAGCTTTCATTTTGGATTAATTAATGTGCTTGCTTGTTGTAGAAACTTTTCAGTCATTCTTTGATATGTATATATTTAATACTGTTGTAAAGCAATACATCATTCCCACGTTGTTCAACAAAAAAACCAAAAAAAACCAAAAAACAAGAAAACCATAAAACCAAACCGAAACAAAACAAAACAAAAACCCAAAAACAAAACAAATAAAATTTTTGCACACATTTCAAGGGAAGAGTAGGAAAAGAAACTATGGTAATATGATGGATTTCTCCATCCATCAGATGAATTCCTCCATCCATCAGATGAATTCCTAATCTAAATTAAGTTTTCCCAGGATTTTCTTTTGGATAGCTATACAGAAGATTCATCTATATGTATCTGTCTATTTTTCACTGTAAAAGAAGATGAGTTATTAAAGATCAGAGTTATTTACATATCTCCTGAGTAAAAAACAGCTTAGACACTACTCCTTATGCATATTAGAGTTGTGAATTACAGTTCTGGATGCTAATATTTCCCTGTTCAGCTTGTTAATGGTACATTCAGTGAAGCATACAGCAATCTAGTTTTGCAGATGTTTATAGATTCGTTTCCTGCAATTTCCTGAGGAGCTTGATAAATAATCTGAAGCTTGGTGGCTCACTTGGTGCTTGTATGTAGACATTTGAAATCTTTCCTCTGAAGATATGATTATTCCTCCAAGCTCTCACTTCCACACTACTACCTATGAGACTTTAGCTGTAGAAAAAATGTATGTGATTTCCATCTAAGAATATTTCATTTCAAAATGAAAATAAATTTCAAAATAGCTTTCAAAATTTCTCTATAAGTACTGTGAAAAATTGAAATGCTAGAAGTAATTTCTGTTTGAACTTTAACATCACTTCCCTTTGAGTTCATTATGAA